GAGCTATGGAATACTAGCATTAATAATTTTGGATAACTAATTATATAGATATTGTATAAAGTAGGATAAGGCTCCCTGCCTTAGATGGGAACTTGATAGCCTCGGACGCAATGTATAGCCGTGGTGCTGGCCGATGTCTCAAGGGGGTCTCGGTCTAGGGCCACCTCTCCTGGTGGTGACTCTGGAGGGTTTCTATCCTTTTAGGCTCTACGCCTCTGCAACACCTCACTGTCCAGGGGCAGTCATGAAACTTTACTTTCTTCGGGAGGGTAGCACTGGTGAACACTTGTGCCCTAACCCCTTGTGTGGCGCTAAATATCCTTACAAGACTTAAAAAAAGTGGAGAAGTAAGACAATTTGTGGATGTCCCTGTGCGCCTGTAGTTATTTTTGTGAAAGTAACAATGTAATTACTGCCCACGCGCAGGATGTTAAGTGACACTATTTACATTTATGGAACTGAAATTTTAAACTTACGCACATAGTTCAAATCGCATCTCTCGGAAATCACTTTTATTTTCAGGAAATGATTATTTATAAGTTGGACTAAAAAAGGCTGTTTACAATATGGAACCGTGATGTATAGGGACCCCCCTTGGTGCTACTGCCCCTGTTGACTAGTCGATTGGCTACTGCCTTTATTCGTTTCCTTATTATTTTTATAATTAAAATTAAAAATTTTTTTTACCCATTTTTTTTTCTCTACAAAAAATGTATTTTTAACAGTTTTCACCAGACTTCTCTTTAAAATCTTATTTTTTTTTGGCATGTTTATATTTGACTACCTTGGTAAATATTCTTCTTCATGATATTACTAAAGTTTATTTATATATTTATCTATTTTTTATTATTATTAATAGTTTTTTATATTAATATAATCAAAATACCATTACTTATTCTCTTTTACACTCATGCGTCCCAATTCTACAAATAGCGTCCAAAAGAACTTACTGCCACTTTGTTAACCTCGAATGCAGAACACTTAAAAGTAGCTAAAAGTTTAAACTATGGGAGTACGGTCATTTTTAGAAGAAAAAGATTTTCGAAAATTTTCCTAGATGAAAGAAAGCTATTGAGTCCAAATCTAACCCATATTTCGCTCTCCAAATAATGGAACCAGAAGCGTATATAATAGACATATTAGAGGATAGCGATATAACAAGTCATATGTTATTTCTATTAAAAAAGTTAACCATAATATAGTAAAAAATTTGTATAAAAAAAATAGTATTCTCAATATCTGACAACTGCTATAAATTTAAGAAGAGATTTAGACTGAGATAATACTACTAATAAAGGTAGCAAAAATGATAGTTTTAATGATAATAATGACCTTACCACTACTAATAGTATATCGCTAATAACATATCTAATATACAAATATAAATTAGTATATCGCCCGTTACCGTACGCTATAAGAACGGTGGAGCAAACTGTACTAAATTAAAATAATTACTTCATAGAGATCTTTCAGGTACTGAAATGGAAGCGTGGATTAGAATATTTATACACCTGGTGAGGAAGACCTCAACGTTCAATTTTTTTTTAGATTTATATAATTTTAAGTATTACACTAATTGCCACCCTTCCAAGAAGGGCTCAAGGTTGTTTTTGCGGTATTACTTTCTTTAAAATGAAGCAGAGTTTATTAATTAGACCTAAAAAATCAGGATTTTCACCCCACTAAGGTTATTAGAATTAGGGTATGATTACACAGAACCCCTTTGCCCCTCGTCATATCTGAGCACGGAAGTACTATATTTAAAGTCGAAAAACACGTGATGACTTCGTTTCTCTGAGCCTTAAAAAAAAAAAAGAAGAATTGGGGTAGTGCTTCGCTGCCAATTATGTAGACAACACAAAAATTCTCCATTCGCGATATAAATGTGCTAAATGTGCGCTAAACAGAGATTTTAAATCCTGCCCTAAGCCTAGAGATGATAAACCGAAGTTTATCAACTGCCTAAATGAGCACTCTGCAAACTTTAGAGGTTTGTATTACCCTAAAATCGGGCCGTTTAGAAGCCTTAGCTGTACTACTATCTCTATATACTCTGACACGTGAAAACGTGGTATCTCCTGGGGGTTGGTTCAAGAAATAACTACCAAACTTACTCAACTTTCAACTCGTCTCAATGATTTCATCATTAAACGAATAGCACCCTTTAATTGGAGCGTCTTTGGAGTTCCAATGGTATACTGGATAAAAAATGGGAGCTCTAGAATTTGACCAAAAGGATGAATCTCGACCTTACTTTAATATCAGGTGTCCCACTTGAACACAACAAAAAGATTAATTCACCAAACTACTTACATATTAACAATACCGTAAAAAAAACATAGGAGATGGAAGCTTACTTATCCCTATTAAGCGACATATAAAGCACTACTTAATAAAGGCTACAGTGTGTGCATCACATCAGAAAACTTGGTCAGTAAATATAATTTCCTGTTATAAGTTGCCCAGAATGGGGCTATTGAAGGGAGATTAAAAAAAATCTTCTACGATCCTATTCTAGTAATTGTTTGTGAAAACCTAAAAACCAACACTCTTCGTGGTACGGCAGATGTGACAATCCGAATGGCAAGTTTTTAGAACGCTGGGTAAAAAATAATAGGGTTTCTATTCTGCCCTCTTTAAAACTACATATCGCTCAACTAGAGGCTACCTTAATATATTTGACATAGCTTTACTAAAGATCATATTGGTTCCTGTATGCAACTATAAATTATCAACAGACTATGATCCATAGTATTGTTAAGTAGAGATTTAAGTCGGCCAACAAAGAGAGTAGTCTAAAGGGAATCTTTTTAAGAACACAGTAGTAAATAATTTTTTTTACCGTTTGTAATCCTTCCTTTTCCTTTAAAAATGATTCGCTGTTCTTTTTATTTGAAGAACACGGTAATTTAACTTTAAAAATTTATTAAATACTCATAAAATTGTTTTAAACTTCAAATACGTTTACTCACCTTGAGGTGTTAGTAAACGTAGGTAATTAAAAAAATATTAGAAAAGACATGCTCATTGTAATAAGTTAGCCTTTAACAAAATAAGTAATGCGATTAAGTGTGAACTAAATGCCTTTTGTAACAAGCTTTGCGTATGTCATCCGATAACTTAACATAGATAACTGCCAAAACTTTTAAAAACTCGCAAGAGTAATTGATATACCTCTTTACTACCAATAAGGGAGAAATAATTCTTTCAATCGAGAAAAGGTCAATATATTTACATCTCCTCAGTGTCCGCTCTATGCTATTCTTAGTAAAAAGAAAAAATACTACGTATATAACCAAATATAATTTTCAAGTGTTTACGATTGAAAAGGAAGTCTCTGACTGAAATCAATAGATTTAATATTAAAAAAAGTAGGTGCCCTGGTGGTATATCGAATTAATGCTTAAATATCTTTAACCAGCGGCAAATTGTGTACTTTTCCTATTTTCTACAATGTTACTTCCCACATATTGAATTTAACCTGAAGTTGTTCTTATATAAAAAAGTAACCGTACCAGCAGCTATTCTAAAGACTATCGACCGATTAGTTAACTTTCTTGTGTTTATGAAATTATTGAAACCGTAATCTTCTCTAGCTTCAAATTTTACAATCTTCTTCCCTCACAGCAATTTGGTTATTAAATAGGGCACTCAGATACACAGTAAATTTTAAGGAATTGTGGAGAATAGCACTAAAGCCTTTAATTACAAAAAGCTTATAGTCATAGTTTCTTATAATATCGGGATAGTTTGTGATATAGCCTGCCACGAAGGACTTACGTAAAAATTAGATTATACACGAGTTGCAAAAATGTGTTGCATTCATTCTTTTTAACGGGTCATCTGTTTCACGAACATAAGAAAAACTTGTCTGCTCTCAGTTCCTTAGAGCTCTTGTCACTCAGGGCACATTATTGTCAACTTTATTATTTTCCTATATATATGCTGTATATTTTTTCTCCTATCAACAAAGTTTCCTTAATTCCAAAACCTGATAGCTTGCCATCTATTGTAAAATCAAAACCACCTACATTGGGTGGTGCGGACTAAAATGTCTTACAAGCTCTACTCAAGAGAAGGAAAGCAGGGAATAATTAAAGTTTTAACGCTATCGCAAAAAATTCATCCCTTATGCACATAGACAAAATACCTTGACGTTATTATTGGCTCCAGATATAACTGGAAACCTTACATAGAATATTTTAAAAAAAATTAGGAATTTAACTTCTTTCTTACACCCTCATATACTTAAGAGAAGCCAATTACTTAAAATAACGAGTTGCCCAACCGTCGCGTGGTCTTTCCGCTCAGCTTTTCATATTGACAGAGTCCAGATTCCTTTAAACAACCTCCTTGGAGTGTGGCACCTTGATTTTTTCGAAACTTTTAATTGCATCGTGAAGTGAGATCAAATCATTTTTCTTTACCTTAACAAACATTTACGAAATGTTTTTATCCAAACAATTTTGTACTACATCCCCACCCAACTCCTAAGCTAAAGACGGCCTAATAACTTTTTTATTTAAACTTAGAAATGTGTGTACCAGAGCGGTTATAGAAAAACTACAAGCTTATATAATTATATAAAAAAACGTTAAAAAAAGGGAAAGACGGTAAACGTTTAAAATGCGACTCTTTTTTTCGGTCTAAATGAAGATTATATAACCTCGTCATCATAAATCTACATTTACTGAGGGAAAGTGCACTGGCGAAATGCGTTTCAACGTGTCCGATCTGAGAAGTCAAATCTTCAAAATCTTAATTAGTCTTCGGTGGGTGACCAAAAGTATGACCACGCCTCACTTTCCCCTAGGAAATTCGGAACATTCATGATGCTCCTCCTGAGACGTATGGACGCTTAAATTGCGCCTAAATCAAGACTAAGCTGCACTCGACTTATCGCAAAAATAGTTAATAGTACATTCACTCTGTCACATATATAAAACCACAAGTTGCTTTTCTATGTCACGCGCACCGGTTTACGAGTCCGTTACTACATGATCACTCATTACTTTTTTAAATCGCAGCTCGTTGTCCCCCTCCTTTCCTTGAGTCACGGGGATTAGGTACCTAAGCACTTTCATTGTTAAAGCTTTCATTATTAAACCTATATTGACCATGGTACTTTTATCCTTTTGAGTTAACTTAAATTCTTGCAATAATATTAGCGACATTCGCTAATAAGACTACTTAAAAACTTCTTTTCATGAACTCCAGCAGCTAGTTTCAATAGTGTATCTATGTTTCATGGTATCCAAACCATCCCTTTAAGCGACGAAGACCGATTTTTACTTCTAAGCGGTACTATAATGAATTGGTTGACTTTTGGCAGACTAATAAGTGGACACTTAGTTGGTTTTAGATTTGCTGAGGAGATTTTGAGATTACAAGATCTAGAACTTTTTTCCAAGTTACTGAAATGTCCTTTAACTAAAGCTAAGTCCATTCTATCAGAATTGAAAGAATATTTTCTTAGAGAAACTTTTAACAAGAGAAGTACCTTTTTTTCTTTTATTTGTGTTATAGTTTCTTATTAATTTATTAGTTACTTGTCGTTTATATACACTGTCCCATCTTAAAAAGAAAGAGAAATCTTTAAAACCAATTTCAACCTTTATTTCGGGATTAGATAGGTATTTTCCACTAACATATATTTTAGATTTAAGTTGCGCTTTTAACGCTTTTTCTTCCATCCCTTTAGAATTCTTTATTTTCATATCGAGGGTTCCAACGAACTTTTAGGAGGTAGCTTTCGAACATTTACGTTTACATCTACTATACTTACTATTTAAGTCTTCTAGTAGCAATTTTATTATCGACCCTAATTCTAGTATATATCAGGCGTTCCAAGAGGATGTGTAACGGAAATCTATGGGGCGCCGGGCACTGGGAAAACCCAGTTAGGTTTTTGCCTACAAAAGTTATTAAGAATTTATATTAAAACTTGTGTCAAACTAGTAATTTTTTGCTCTTTTGTATAGCCTACCTTCTATCCTCTTTCTAATAGACAATCCTTTTTCTTCTTATGTATAAGATGATCATTATTTAATTTTTAGTTTTTGTTCAAGTTATAATTTTCTTTAAAAGCTCTTATATGCTCTTTACAAAGTTAATGCATGTATTTTCTTTACCTTCTATCTTAAACTTTCTTACTATATATTTTCTCGTAGCTAAACAACTCTGTTTGAGCGTGAGTATTCCTACAGAGCTCGGTGGGATTGGCGGAGAAGCAATTTTCGTGGACACGGAAGGGAGCTTTGTCGTAAGCAGGTTTGCCCTTTTCAACACTTCTGTTTTAGACAAGCGCATTGTTTAAAGTTGAGGTTGCAAACCAAGCCTGACAAGTTACTAAGTATATACCGTCTTAGTATTTGGACGGTGTCGCTATCTGACTGCCCATCATTTTCCTTATTTGGCCAACTATATGTGGTTTCCTTATCCTTATAGAGTCGCTGAGCAGTTTGAGCATATGAAAGTCGAATTGCTTTATTCGCGCGGTAAACTTTCGGACGAGTCATCTTGGACTACGTATACTCTGGAGAAAGCCTTGAGCAGGATTCACTTTTATCGCATCCTTTCTTCCAAAGATCTCTTGGAAGTCGTTGCTAAAATCAAAATACTGTGCGACCAGATCCCTACTACAAAGTTTAAACCCATAAACTTACCTTAAGGCTTTGCTGCGATTTTATCTTTTGCAAAACCATATCTGCTTTCACTTTTGTTTCTTATGTTTAGCTATTTCTTAACTAAATCGTATCATACTTTTATAATCACGCTGGCAGGCTGATAGTAATAGATAGTATAGCCTTTCATTTTCGTTGTAGCCCTCCCGATGCCATGAACTTGCGCAACTCTCGGTTATACCAAAAACGCAGTTGTTGATAAATACCTCAAAGTTGAGATATTATACTTTCTAGGCTGGGAAGACTTGCTCTCGATCTCGCGAATTTGGCTCACCAGTACGAATTGGCAGTGGTCGTCGTAAACCACGTTACCACCAACGGTTGCTGTTTTAGAGTTTATGCTTTAGTGCACGTTCCAATTTCTTATGTCCTTTAGTTCGAACTTCAGATCGTTCCCGCGAGGGATTAACACCAGCGCTGGGAGACATGTGGTGCCACACAAGCTCGGTGCAGATCAGGTGTTCGGTTAAAGTTTTAGTTAAGTAGCATAAAACATTAAAGTTGCTTGTTCAGCTTGCAAAGATTTAGCTCTCTGATGGACGGAGGCAAGTGTTATGTATACTTGTTGCTACCGTAGTAACGGCTAGAAAATATCCTACCAACGCCTACTAAGATGCTTCCTTTTCATTATTTTTAAGATATTTTGTTTTATTTACTACTAGATAGTTTTCAAGCAACGCTGGAAAAATGTCCCTTTCTTACTAAAAATTATTGTTTATACAAAATAACCGAGCGAGGCTTGAGGTTTAGAGCCCCTTTTCCCGATTAACAAAGTTTTTTAAATGTGTTAACAGGGACTGGAACTTTAAATCTTCGTCGACTGTTGAAGGAAGCTCTCAAAAAAAGTTGAAAGTTGATCTAAAAAAAGATATTGACCAAAAATCTAAAGTCATCGCTAATGACTTGTGAAAGCAAGTCTAGAATACTAGTAATCCTATAAGGTTGATTTTTTTTAAATTTTCCTCGTCAATAATAAACTTCCACTTCGACTACTCGTCGTAAGTCCCGAATCACTTGTACTACAGATTTAAGGCCTTGCTCCTTTTTGAAACTTTATATAGTAAACGGATTTAAGTAACCAATCACTTTAACGCCCTAAAAATTGTAGTAAAATAATAAAGATAGCTCTTCTATTAATAAAGCAAAATATTTATTTATTGCCAAGTCCCTATCTGCTTTCAGTGGGGTAGAGTGAATTAACAATAACTTGGCGTTTTAAGCTCTTAAACTCTTTACTTGCGACCTTCAAAAGTTCAATGAGCTTCTCCGTTACCACCAAAAAAACTTAAGGTTACAACGATTAAGATTAAAGAGATTAAGAACCTCTTCACCGGTAGCATTCTTATTTTTTTCCCAGAGATAACGCACTTTTCGTTTCGAATATTCTCTAAGCGGGACAATAAACAATAAAATAAAATACTGAGCAATACTACCTCCTTCTAAAAGGATGGGAATGTACCTAAAGTTATAACTGGAAAATTTGCAGCACTCTCTGTACATTTGCCTAAATAATTGCAACGAACTTTTAACGGCCGACATGACCATATTTCAACTTTTTTTCTAGCTTCTGACAACCATCGAATTTAGTTAAGAGCCAGAACAAAAGAACGCAACAGCTGCTCGTGTTAAGTTGCCTCCAACCCTCGTTAAATTAGAATATGGTGTTAAATATTGTTTTCGCTAGTCCTAATTCCTTCAAAGCAGTCTCCCGTCTGGCTAACGGTGGTAAAATTTGTACACGACTACTTATCATTAGGCAAAATAACAAAATTTGTAATTTTCTTTTCCACAACTCATAATAATTTACCATTTCCTGCTCAAAAAAACATAAATTCGACTACTACGAATTTATATAGTCAATATGAACCAAAGGGTTATAAATGAAGAAATGCAGTATTAACCAGCTTAACCTTACGCCTGTACAAATTGAACATGCTCAATTTTATAGTTACTAGCTCTGAGATAAACCACAGAAGCTATTAAAAGAAGTTTTTTTTTAAAAACCGCGCGATTGAGTTTAATTACTAAACAAAATGTAATCTTCAAGTTTATTTACAGAACCTTACCTTTTCATCGTTTCAGATGTTTTCAAATATATTAGTAAGCAAAATACATGAAAGAAGGAATTGAATACAAAGAAGAGCTAACAGATGAAACAATGATTCACTGTTTTGTGCATATACATAGAGAGCGTTTCGTATAACTAATGACTGATTTATTGCAGTCTTTAACGGCACATGCTGTCTTAAAAAACAATTTGGTATTAAATTGTTTTATTAAGATAAACCAGCAACTACATTTGAGTTTACGACGCAATTTTGTTCAGTCACTTCGCTTAAAACCTACTAAATAAATTATTTTGCCTATGAACCCCCTATTTAGTCTTTGTTCTACATTGCTTTTAGTTTTAGAAAAAGCATTATCTAAACTCAAGGACGTAGGCGTATACCGAAGAAATATAATATAAATATAAAGACACAATTATTGAACATTTTTGAAACCCTAAACACAAAAGAGCAAATACAATTTTTATTTACATCTCCAACAAAAGTCAATTTAGTATAGTAAAAATGGTGGTTGACACAGGCAGTAAAAGAATTGCCGGCGTCATAGTTAGGTTACGTTCTATTATTTTTTATGACTTTGCTGGGTACTCGGTAAACTGGAGCGAAAATTGCTTTTTTTTTTTTAGTAAGTACTACCACCTACAAGGAGCCCTTCACAATCTTAAAAAAAATTAAAAACGCAAAATTTCACCAAGGAGTTAAAATATAAATTGTATATGTATATATAGCAATAAATATCGAATGTAAAGATAAAAGATAGAAAAAAAGGATACACCCGAACTCTTCTCTAAATCCCTAGGTCACAAATGCCGTCAGCTTTAATAAAAAATTAAATTTTAATTCGCTTAGTCCGTGTTTATTTTTGGCCCTAGGGTAGCATTAACAACTAAGAAGGTTAGAACAAAAAGGCGAGAATTACTTTATTATGGGCAATTAGGCCATCTGTCAAGTAATTTAAAGATACATCAACTAAACCACCTCAAAATAAAATTAAGAAAAAATATACGTGAGCAAGAGGAAGAAGCAAAACGAGCTAAATTTTTATTGAGCTCCACGAGTAAAATATACTCTGGACACGAAATTAATCATCACAATAAGGATTATGTGATAGCAATTATTGTTCTATGGGTAGTTATCATCTAACTCCGTTAATGTACCTTTCCAAAAGTTTACAAAAGCATTTTCGTTTATGTATATTTGTTTGGATTAAATTTAAGATTCTTGAATAATGTTTAATTTGTTCCGTTTAAAAGATAAAGACAGAGACGATAATTTATTGTAACTGTATATAATAATATTCGTTTAGCATAGCCTCTGTCAAACTATTTAAGAATGCGTTTATTTTATGAAAATTAGTTTATGAAATTTTTATTTGGCTTATTTTTTTTAATTATTATTTTTGTGTGGTTTATTATTGTTTAGATGTATGTGTAATTTTTAACACCCTAAAATACTAATGGGGGGTTCAAAAACCCAGGCACTTTTTATAATTGCCACGTTAACTTTTACGGCTGAACTAAATTTATTACAAAGGTGGAGAGTTAAAATATTTAGATGTGACAGGAAAATAAAATAAGCTTACACGAAAGCACATAGATTGCAGCCTACGCGAACTTAAATCGTGGAAAGTGTATGGGGTTACGCGTAACCCCGGTTTTTATTCTAGTTTTAACGTTTAAATATAAATTTTTTTAATTCATAGAACATATTTAAACGCAACCATCTCACTTAGGCTCGTGTAAAGAAAATTTTGTTTGAATGGAAGTAAATTTTTTCTATCAAATTACTCTTACACCACCCTCGTTTTTGAAGCATGATTAAGCCCTAAGCACATTGTAAATGAACTCGCATGCGGGTAAATAATTTGCGTAAACTAAAAGGAACTTGAAGAGGGAAACGGCATTGCATTAAAAACACTATTTACGGATTTTGGACGTAGATCTTAAAGTCTATTATGGACTCAATATCGCTATCTCGCAGAGGGGACAATGGTAAATGACTGCGGTCTGGTATTTTTAAAAAATTTACTTGCGAAAGGAAGCACAGCTTTCGTTGAATTTTTGTCATGTGGCTTAATTTCCAGCATTGGTTGGGGAGTTCTAACAGCATTTTTTTGATGCGCGAGAGTTGCTGTTTAGTGCCAGTTTCTATCCAGCACACTGTAACGCTTTGTCACTTGTTGAGCAATATTAACTAGATAGTGTTTTTAGCTCCTCAGGCAGGCAGATGGAAAAGTATTGTCTTCACTGCCGTAGTTTGAAGTGTAAGCCATGGTCATAATTTTTAATTTTGGCAACGGTAAGTAATGTAGGTAAGGCAAGAAGGTCTTCACAAAGGGCCTGTTAAATCCTACTCGATCTGTTAAATACCATTAAAATCTTATAGATACAAACAACAATTTGCAGAGCCCGTAAATTGCCCTCGGGAAATAAAGATCTTTTAAAGCAACCGTCTGTTTCAAGCTAATCCCTCCCATTAAGACCATCACTCAGACAGAGCCGAAGGTTGCTTAGAACATCAAATTTGTGGTTCTCAAGGGTTGTTAAGGGCTTATAAGCTGCAATTAGCTACAGTCCCTTGACTGGCTAAGCTAAGGAAACCCAACGGCCGTCCTCCTGATTTTCGAGCAAGTAAAGAATTGGTATTTAGATGAACGAGTTGTTTTACTAGAATAGCTGTATCACGTAATCTCTTTACCAATGTGATGTTATAGAAAAGATGTGCCTCACTTAGATGCAAATAGATTCTTTCATGCAGCGTTAACTCCTGTAGTTCATGTTTTCTGCTCTGAACGCCTTTCGAATTTTTTAAAAGGAGCCAACTATGGCAGCGCAGCACTAAACTATGCTTTCAGCTATTATCAAGCAGAGTAATGTCGAAAATTTGCTAACCTAGCTTCGGTTGTCGGCGCTGAGGAGTTAGCTTTAAACTCATGTAAAGGCGTGCAATATCATTAATAATACAGTAGGGGAACAAAAAGTTTTTAAACGCCGAAGTACCGCCTGTAAGAATGCATTTTTTTAAAATAATAATAAGCAATATATTGAAATTTTTTATAGTATTATGACAATATTATAATTAATTAGATTTAATTCTTTATTTATTGGATCCCATCGTTTTTTCCATTAAGCTGTGTCTACATATATATAAAGGCAAAACACTTCACTTTTCAAAGTGTCCTTTCTCTACAATGTCAACTTCGAAAAGTGGAAGGGCTTTTAACAGAAATTATTTAAAAGTTCAAGGCCTTATATCTACACAAATGTCCATAATAATTATATATAAGCCAAGTCGCATTCGTGTTAAAAAATTCTTACTTCCATAAATATCATGATTGGTTTAGCCCCTATAGTGGACTATGACTGGACGGCTGCTAATTTTCATAAATTATTTTGTCTTTTTTGCTGAGAGCCCATCTGTGAAATGTTTGAGCAGTCTTAAAAGCTAAAAGGCGTCTTCATACCATGTCATACCAACTTACAGCTTTTTTGTAGTGAAAATCATAGAACGCTTTAGCTTTATTGTTTAACTTAATCATTTGAAATGGAAACAGAAACCTTTATCCTACAAGAAAAATTCAAGGAAAGTATCTACATCACACGCAACCACGGCAATAATCCATGAAACGAAGTAGACAATGATATAATTATAATTTCGGTGTTAGACAAACTCTTACAGTGAACTTGTTTTTAATGAACAATTTTTTTATCGGCGCTCAACGGCCATTGTTGATTAGTTTTTTTTCGGTTTGAATGAGGTAGTTCTTTGTTTATTTAGTGTAGGTAGCAATAAAGCTTATTTTGGTTTTTGTATTTTCTGTTTACTGACACTAGTTTTATTCTTATTTTAACGTCGACTTCACTTTGTATTAATATGTTGAAGTCATCAGAAATCACAACTTATAGTTTATAATGCTGAGCTATGTCTACAACTTGTTCTTCTAACTGATCAAGTATGTATACACCTTTTGCTACAAAATTCTATAATTTTATAATATTTTCCCTCTTTGGTAGGCATGGAAAGAACTATACCATTAAATGTTTTTAATTAATTAAAGTTTTATTATATTTGTATACCAAAGACTGTGCTCGTTAGTGCTTCGTCACACTAGTGAGTTCTCAGTTTTATTGTTCTAGTTAGTCCTGCCATATTATCTAGGGTTTATATACTTAGTTTGCTAGCCATGTGTTGGCGACTAATTGGGTTACGAACTACTATTTTGTTAGTTGTTGAAAAATAACCCCAAATCCTGTGCTATTCTAAACTCTAACTCCTTTTGTAAGCGATGAAACTAGTTTCTTGGTGAAAGTATCTATTAATTATGAAATTGTTGCTTGAATTTTTAAAGTTGAGTAACTGATTTCCTTTTTAAGTCTTCGGTTATGGCGAACTTGCCAAAATATACCTTGGCTTGCTTGTCTGTTAGGGAATAGATTGTAAAATCTACACGAATTAATATTTTGCAGTTGATAACGTTTAAATATTATTGTCTTGTCGCTATTGAGAGTTTTTGAGTACCTGCAAACTCAAAGTCATAGGTTTTTCACTTAAAGGCTTACAGGTGTGCCCTCTTTTCGGTTTTTTGTTAGTTGCAATAATGTCCCTGTAACTGAATGTAACAAAGAAATAAAGAGTAGGGGTTGACTTTATTTTAGGTTTGTATCGCTTTTATACATTAATATATAATTTTTCGAAAAATGTCAAGAATATTCACAATTACATATAATTTTAATGTTTTTTAGCTTCTACCCTGCTCCTATAGTGTCTAACTGAGTTATCCAAATCTTAAAGCAGCTCTTCTCCACCGCAGAACATTTACATATATGGGTTGAAGGAACCGAGAAGTAAAAAAATTAGGGTGACTGAATGACTGTTAAGGAGGGCGTGAGCTACTTCGATGAGACTAGAAGTAACATTAGGGTATAGCAGTCGATTAAGAAACATAGAGGAAGACATTGGAGTGGAACTGTATACCTGCTGAAAACATCTGAAAGGTAACCTCAAAGTGGGGAGGGGGGGGTTGTCGCTTGACAAGAAAAATTTACAAATGCTATGGAAGAGAGGGTAAGCACTTTTATAGTAGCCTGGCTTGAACCTCAAAGGACTTAAGGAGCGATTTAAATAGAAAAAGAAAGAAAACATACAGTTTATCCCAGTGAATTTTGGTGTAAGGCTAATCTTGAACACGCCTGCAAAGGTGCTCTAAGCTAAAGGTTGCGTTAGCCAAGCGCTGGCCTATTACAGTTGGCACAATTTCTCTAATTAAATTATAAATAACCCCTCCCTCTACCAACCTTTACAAACAGTACAGCGTCTACTACAACTTTATTAAGTTACAAAGGTTAGGTTAAAGATAAATTATTTTGTGATTAGTAAATGACTTTCTACGGTGCTTGATTGAGTCAATGAACAGAAGACTTGGAACTTTTATAGCTGGAGTAGTCGCATTTTCGCCCCGCATGGACACCCCTCGCAGTACTAACAAGCTCCTGGTGATTTGATTTTTCAGCTTGTCCGAGCTGAGGTGTTTTTGGTCAAATGCAGATAAAATAAAAAGTATAGTAAAAAAAGGGGAGAATATTATGAAAATAAAGAAAGGAAGATGCTTGTTTAAGACCTGCTCTATATTAAGATTATGCTTATTTCCCTTTTAAATTGTTGTTGTCTGCTTAATATTCGGTTTTTTTTATTGGATCAATATTATAATTATTTCTGTATGCCCCCCCTTTAAAAGGTAATAAGCATCGGAAGCTTGAAATTGGGTAAAAAAATAATTGTAAACTTATAATAATTTAAGTTTTCCTAGTTCCTCTTATAAAAGTTTTTTAGTAGCAGGCTATATTTGTGTTGATTTAATAAGCCGGAAGTTCTCGTGAATAAATATAAAACGATACGTTATATATTAAAATAGTAACATATACTAAAGATTTAACGTAATACATTTAAGGGGTAGAAGAAATAAAAGTACTGCAGAAATTATTTGATGATTTTTGACTCTCTAGGAGCACCTAACCAACCTTACAGAAAACAAGAAATGGAGAATAATAAAAATTGTAACAGCACATGTTGGGCTGCACTTACATATGCACATGCAGCCCTCGATTCCTCATGCTATAGACGGAAGTAGTAATTTTTAAAAAAAAGGAAGGGGCTCCTCCCTCCTGGGTGAGGAGCTCATATCGGGGAAGCCTGGCTGGCAGTAGTGTTAGTCAATGTCTTCAGTTGGGCTCGAGACTCGTGCCTAGGGCTGCCCCTCCGGTGGTAGTTTTTAAAGGTTCTCCACCGCACTAGACCAAATAATGGTGGGAGTCCGGGCCCGATATTTCCCGATATTTCCCGCTTTTTCAGTCTTTCGGGAGAGCCATAATAGCTCTCTAAAAAGCGTATATACTAGTGGGCACTAGTGTCCCAACCACATCAGAAGAGGGAATTCATGTTAAGCCTCTTAAGGTCTGAAGAAGACCGGCCGTAGTATGCTAGTGCTAAAAAAAAATGTTGGGGGGAGTGGGTGGTTAAAGGACATGATTTTAATTAAAGATTGACTTTTAAATTTGTATTGACTTGTGAGCAGGGAGCTACCAAAAGTTTTATTTAACGACTTTAACGACAAAGAAAGCAAGACTACTTTTGACTATTGGTGAGTTGACGGCGCGAGGAAATCCTTCTCGGCCCAAGTATAACTTGTGGCGATCAAAGCAAGTTCATATCAGTCCCAGTGATATCGTTATGCTCTCGGGTGAGCACCTTATGGCTAAGGAGTTATTACGTGACCATTTTGGTAGTACCGCTCAAGTAAATTTTGTTCTTAAGAATGCTTTCAATTTTTTAATTTAGCCTTCAATATTTTGTGCTTTTGATCTTTCTAATCCCACATTTTGCTTAATTTTTGAAGATTGTTGGAAGTTCCTTGATTGTTAAAAATAATCAAACTTTACCTAGTATTTGCGAAGATACAAAGCTTCATAAAAAGATAGTCCAGGATGCACTTATTACTTTGATTCAACATGTGATAAAATTATTTAAAAGTTTTCGGTATTTTCTTATCCTACCTTATCTATTTAGAATGTAGTTCAGTTTCATTTACAAACTTTTGTAATCTATGAAGTTTTGATATCTGAAATATTATTACGTCTTCGCTATGCTTGGTATCTAGAATATGTTAGCTGTACTTATGGAGATAAGGTCTACATATAAACTACTTTAATTTACTTTTGAAAAGTTATTTTGTAAAACTAGGAAGAATCTCTACTTCATTATATAATTCAGCAGGGAAGGGCCTCTAAAAAATCTGTAGTGGATTCCACTTGTGTCTTATATAAAGGTTTTAAGATAAGTTCTATTTCACTTTAAATATCAGTTGGATTAAACTTATAGTCAAGCCGATGTTTATTCTAAGTTCTTTTGAAAGTTTGGTGACTAATAAACTTATCATTTCTGTTAAAGCCGAAGATTCGGGCTCTTTCGATTTAGGGAAGGCTACCAATAACGTAAGTAAAGTGTATTAGTTAATGTTGTGAGCTTAATTAGGTTTCAGTTTTTCCAGTTTATAAATAAATTAAAGGAAATGTTAAATAACCACGTAAGTGCAGTTGTTGTATAGACATCTGAAGTAACTTATCTAACTTTAGATAAGTTGAACCGCTTTTTTTAACAATAGACCGATTCTGAGCTTTGGCGTCTTCATACAGCAGCGTTTCACGTGCACTTTCGAAATAAGGCAAACTCTTCTAATTAAAACTTTATGCTTTATATTGTTATTTATACTACGATTTATACTTTATAAGACATATTTTATATATATTAGCGCGTACTGGTATTTACGTTAAGAACTTATTTGTTATATAAAATTGTGGTCCTTATATTAGTGGGGATATTCATACACTTTTATGAAAGTTTATAGCACACAGAGTTTCTGTGCTTTTGGACGAACGCGCTGGAAACATCTGCAGAGAATTTTTACGGTGCGCGATAACATCTGAGGTTTACCACTAAATGTTTCGACTTAACTTTGTCGCTCTTTCTTGGTTTGGGTTGTCTTGGTATATAAAGTGGAATTTCATTTTTATTGTCTGGAAGTGTCTGCAACAATTGCTTTTTCACCGCATAGTGCTTTTTTTTACGTAACTACGCAAGAGCTTTTATATACTTGGTGACTCTGGTAAAATTTGCTTTCCAGAGATTATTAGGGAGTAAGAACTATTCTCCTTAACTTTTATTTAAAATTTTCGCAGCTCAATGATAACAAACCTGTCTCCTTATATTCTTTATGCGAGACTTTGAAAGACATTTCTTTCGAGATCACTTCCACCGAGCTGAGCGTTCGTTTTGTATTATGTATACGCATTTCCTCGCTTACGTTGTGGTTCAGGAATACTTAGAAGCGTTTTGTTCGGAGGGAACGGACCTAATAGAAAAGTGTGACGAAAGTCAAGGAGGAATATATAGGCTTAGTATTTCTTTTAAAACTCTGAGGCTCGTTAATAGGCCATCACTAGTACACTCTTGTTGAACTGTTTTGATAACATTTTTTTTAAGTTTCAGGTATACATTGTCGTATTCTCAATAACATATTTTTTCATAAAGACTATGCCAAAGCGAAACGCTGTCTTCAACTTCAACTCGTGGAGTCTACAGTGCTGGAGAAATACGGTTTTCATGTTTTGCTCTACTGTGGCGCGGTCTCGCTGTACTAATATGCCTTAGGATCCGCATCCGCTCGTATTTTTAGATGCTTGAAAAAGTATTCTAGTTTAGAGCAGCAGGAGGTGTTGCGTAGCTTTTCATTATTTTTTTTCATTATGTTTAGTGTTTTTTTGTAGGTTTCCCACTACTGTGTTCTCCCTTTGCAAGAAACTTGTTCGTCTCTCTCAAAGCTGTACGAAGATGGCTTTCTCTTTTCTCAAGTTCCTTTTTATTTAGTTCAACTTCGCTTGTTTTGTAAATTTTTATAAGGAAATTCCCAAAGTTTATGATTTTTCGAGTTCCCTTGCTCTTTACTCGTTCGATTTACCACGTGCTGTGTCCAATATAGTTCATTTATTACATAAAACATGCGCAAACTTGATTAATAGAAAGTTGTGCGAAGTAAAAAAGGCTAATACGTTACTGGAAAAGGTAAAAAGTTTTTCTTGGGATAATTATTTTGGTTTACAAAAATTTTATATAGTTCTGTTTATATAATTCTTGTTTCCCTTAATTTAATAAAAATTTTTCATATATAAATTTTATTCTGGTAAATACTTCGCTCATGGTAATTTTGTATCTTTATTGTTACTTCATATGCAAGCTTGAAGGAAAAGAGTTGGGTCTCAAGGCGTCTCTGTTATATACAGCGCCGTCAAGTTCTGAAAGGTAAAGAATTTTCCTCTTCGTTGAAATATTATTTTGTTACAATATTAATAGAATTTCGGAGACAGACATAAAGGCTTTAAGTAAACTACAAGAGAGCATTAAAAAAATTCACGCTTCCTTATTGAAAATAGACGAGATGCTCTTTATTCTCAGAGATCTGTAGTTACACTTTGTTCATATAAAATATTGCTCTTGTTATCAATAGAATTTTTTTTGAGTATGATTACAGTGTTGTAAAGGTGATTTATAAATTAATTAAACGTATGCAAACGATAGTTTATAGCTTTTGCACGGCTTGTGCTCTCTGTAGGTTTTTTCTTTTGTTATTGAAACGAGGAGCCGTCTATTGGCTATTCCGATTCCAATTCTTACGTTATTAATACTAACAGTACCAACTACCTTAGTTTAGCTAGCAAAAGATAGACCTAGTAAAATTATTCTTTTTCATGTAATCGGGACTAAAGAAGCTCGTAACCACGTGCTTCGTCGCTAGCGCAGAACCCTTTTAATATTACATCTGCTATGTAAAACTGCCTTAAAATGGTTTAAACCGCGTTACGCCATCCGTTATTTGGTCGGCATTGGCGGGAATTCTTCATATGATATGTCTTACCACGTTCACTGTTGTACAGGTCGGCTATTACACCTTCGCCTCTCTACTTGGCTTGGCTTTTACTGGAACTTCTGATAGTGGGTCTAATATAATAAAAATTATTTCAGCTAAGAAACTCTTAACGTTTTTTCTCCTTATTTACGTTAACAATTAGTCGTGCAGCCTTCTTTTTTTTTTTTTTTTTTCAAAAATTATCATTTAATTTATTACCACCGACGAATTCTTTTACTCAATATATGTATGACCTTTACAGGCAACTTTATTTGGGGTATATTTTAAATAAAATTTGTTAGGACCCCCTTACCTATTCTTTTTAATTATAAGCTCGGTTTTTACCAATTTTAGTATAAGGATAGTATTTTAGGCTAATAAATATACAAAAATAAACTAAAAAAGTACATTGAAACTATTGTCTACAGCTTAAAAATTGATGAATTATTAACGTTGAAACCAACAAAAATAAATAAATGAACATGTTACTTTAAAAAAACTGATAGCAACTAATCTACAATAAAAAAAAAGACTTCGATATTTATATTAAGAGAATAAACAAGATGTTACATTATAGAAATTTACGCACCAAGTGTGATAAGAAGGCAGATAGAAGAATCCCAGAAAAACACTTAACTTTTAATTCTTTACATACAATACAGTGAGCTGTAAATTTCCTAAGTTTAGCGAGGGCGTCTGAACTCCTACCAAAATCATATCTAAATTATCCACCGTACAATAAAGCATCTTCCCACAGGCGCTATAGTAAATTAGAATCATGGGACATAGTTCCATTATGTTAAGAGCGGTCTAGTTGTTATTTACGGCAAAACATTGCGCTCTGAGGTATAGGGTAGAACACAGGTATTAAAACTAGAGAAAACATTAAAAAATATATTGATATAGATACGTTAAGAATATAGTCGAAATAATAATAATAAACTGAAACAAAAGTAACGAAATAGAAGGATAACATAATTAGACAAACCATAGCGATCATTGTTTATATTTGAAGTTAGTTATAACATTTAATAATCTAAAATATCTGGATAGATCATCATTATTGGTTGGATATTAATATAACTTGTTTTAGTAAGGTGCGTTAAATTTTCGTTGAATGTTATAAACTCGTCTTTGCCCTGGCTACATTTCACATGTTTTAAATGTGCCATGATTAACAGATTTATCAAAAAGAATTTCTTTTTAGAAATTTTCTATGGCTGTGGTGTTATTATAGTGTACTAAATGTATGCAGCTTCACGAGGAGACTTTTAATAATGCTTCTATCTATTTTAGTTTCCCATTGTTTCGGAGTCCCGACTCCTATAACGTTTGGGTCCAATGATTTTTGTTCGGGGCTGATTGTTTTGTATCCCTCGACCGAATTTTGGTACTAGGTTTTGGGATAATATATCCATTAGTCGTTGAATTGTTGGTTTATAAAATAGGTTCCCACCATTGCTCCTTCCTGAGATTTCGTTTTGTGACCTGGGTTACAAAAGTAAAGTTAGCGAATTAAGGGAATAAATTATTAAAGGTTGGTAGTTTTAAGGCCATATAACTCGGTAGGTGTAAAGTGTTATTGTTTTTGAAATATTGTTATATAAAGACAGTATCCCTGATAGCTTCACTCCAATAGTTGGAAGGTAAACATGATTGCTTCAAGAGGCAGCCTGTAGTTTTATATACAACGTTTGCTCAGCATATACCGAGGTCAGCTACGGTGGTAAGTAGGATTCCTTCACGTTTTAATTCGCTTTTTAGTGTTTTATTACCGTGTCTACTACCTTTATCAGTTCTTACTTCCTCGTTTATGCAAGCAGTGAGAGTTGTACTATTTAGTTTCCTGTTATTAATATGCTTTTTGTGGTTTTTTAAACAGTTCAACAGTTTATAGTTTTATATCTTCCTTGTTTTAGAAATTAAGGCAAAGAGATGTTTAGATTTTACTTTAGTACCTATGACTATATATATTAACAACCATTGAAAGAAGTTATATCCCATCATAAAGTATACACATAGAGTAGTTGACCAGGTTTACGAAGGTGATGTTTCTGGCTTATTTTTACTTTCTTTTTACTTTAGATATTGTGCATATTTCATAGTTATCAGTAGCAAAAGGTTTAACGTTAGGTACGACTTTTTTCAGCTATTTAAAAATCGTTTGTTCATTATTGTAGTGTTCTTCAGGTATTTTGTTACCCTGGAAAATATTAAATACTTATGTATTATATGAGTTACTCAGGTTTAGCTTATTTATTCCGTTTTTTAGTAAGCAATGGGCAACAGATGTCTTATTCTTTTTAATATATACTTTATTAACTCATATGTGGAGGTATACCCATAATTGCCTAATTTTTCCACTGGAATTGAGTTTTATTTGTAATTTGGGTTGTCAGTTAACTTATCTTTTTAAATAGTCAGTTGTGAGAAGCGTTTGTATTCTCCTTTATCGTATTTATTATTAATTTTTCTTCTTTTATTATTTAAGTAAAATTTACCATTAATGTTAAGCAAATAGGCTAGGGAGCCGACAATTAGATTGTAAGTTTGCATAAAAATATCTTTACGATATGATCCTTTTTATTGTAGAAGGTGCATCTGCTATTAAGAAAAGGGCAAGGTTTTCTTTCATGATTTTCCACAACCTTTGTATGTAGGTGTAACAACTATTTGCTGAAATTGTGATTTATTATCTGAGGGTTGCCAGTTTTTTGTATTTAAAGCAAACAATGTAGTATTATAGTTGTTCGCTTGTATTTGTTTTCTTATTTCGGCTTGTAGAAAGGAAATCAAAAATATAGTTGTAATCTAGGGGTTCATGTTTGTTATAGTGTTGTACAGAATCGTTTTCTCTTTTAAAAATGGTGAATAATTTATGCATGAAGAACAGACAAGTAATTAGAGATTTCCGTCCAAAAACATATAAATTCGCTTGCTCTTCCTGGGAGCTTTATTTTTAAACACTGTTCATTATTTTTTGCAGTTCAAAAACAGTTTTATACAGTTTTCATGAAAAGAGAGCTCGAGTTTTTTCGATTGAAGGATATATGTTGTATATAGTAGCAAGTTGGGCGAGTGATATCAATAAACCATTGTCGCAATTAAGTAAGTTTCTGTAATTGTTGAGAATGCCAGCAGATTATGGCCTAGCGTCTGATTAAATTTAATTTAGCTTTAGTAATGAGTATTAATGGAACGGAAGACTTCGTGCTTATATCGTACTAAAACTAAAGAAAGACAAATTTTTGTTAACAGGTCTAGTGAGGCCTCTAGAAGTTAATTTGCCAACGAGTGTTAACTATGAAAAATCCTTGGTCTTATCGCAACGCAAAATTCTTTTGCACCCTAAACCAACAATAATTAATTAAAAAACACCACTCTTTCTTCCTAATAGGTATCAAGTGACCACTATTGGGAAAGCGCAGGCAAAAAAAGTTTAATTTGTCCCAGGCCCTAAGTTGTCCCGCAACGTGTCATTGCGCATGATATTAAAATGTACCGGTCATTAGTTGCAGAAGCTTGCTTAGTTTGCATTTGCAGGATTGTAATCGTCAATGGTTTTTGTAGATTAAGCCACAGGTGTGTACGCCGTAATAGGACGCACACACTCTTTATAGAGGAGCAGTTTATTGCGTTTTTCGCGCAGAGCAGAGGACCAAGTGCGTTAATTACTGCTTTAACCTTGGTCGCAACGAATTCTGTGTTAACGCTAGTCGCCTACCAATGACGATGCCTAAGTATTCGGCCTGGGAGCTCCGTAAAATCTTAAAAATTTCGTAAATTACAAGCGAAAGTAACGCAGAGCATCTTTTCGAATTGAAAATTCCTTTTTATAGATTCATGGTCACCTCCCTTGCCAGCACCTGCCAGCAAGGGTTTTCGAGTAGCTTTCGCAATAATGAGGGCTTCTTTGAAGGTGCATAGACTGCGGTGTCATCGGCGTAGAGTGCTATGCAAGTATGAAAATTTGCAGGGATCGGAAGATCTCGCATATACAGTGCGATGAGCAGTGGAGTGCCCATTCTCGCTCGAAAGGCGCGTCCACGTAAGAAACGACAAGAGTATGTTGTAGAAAGCTAACGGAGTGCTAGTGGCGTAGTTTAAATAGAAGACCTTCGGGCCATACACGGTCAATGGCTTTTTAACGGCGAGAAAAACAACTCTAGTAAGTTTTATCAAGATGAAGTTCCGAGTTTCCACTTAAAAAGCGCAAAATTTATTCTGTCGTTGAGCGCCCCTTCAAAATTTAAATTGGAATTCTGGAAGCGCCTCTTTGTTATTTCTACTGTTACCCAGTTAACGTAATTAAACAGGCTTCACAGTATTGCCTATGTTAGAATTAATATAACGATATTTGTTAGGATCATAACGATATTTGTTAGGATCCGTGAAGCCCACGTAGTCTCAGGTAGCACCAAAGAAGTGGCCGTTTCCTATCGTAATGGAAAGGAACCAGCGATATCGCAGGAGTTGCAAAAAAGGAAAGGTGGTTAATCTCCACGGGGGTTATTTTTTAGAATCTTGTTAGTGATACTATCAGGGGCTCATGCTTTCCGTCACGGAAATGAAGAGAATATAGCAGCGATTGCATCAGCTGTGCTCGGTTTAATAGGTCCTTCGCCAATGGTTAAAGACTCTGCCTTCATCCCTAACGGTAGCACAAGTTGGAGGAACGCACTCAGCAGCGAGCTGGCCGGCAAAGTTCGCCGCCTTAACTTCGTTGCTTACAGTTATTATAACGACGTTATTAAGTGGCTGACAACGATCTCTTATTTGTTTGACGAAGTGCCGAAAAGCAGTCCTCTATTTTGTGTCTTAAAGATAGTTTAGCATCAGTTCGATTGAGGTTCTTAAGATGACCCGCCAGTAGTCGCTCGGCAGTTAATGTTTAATACCCAAAAATGAATAGTTTTCATTTTCATGGCCCCTTAAGGTAGACGTTCACCTATTGGCGTGGTGGAAGATCTCACAGCAGTTGAGCCTTTTTAGGGAACAAAGACATGTTCAAACCTACTTGTTATAAAAAAAACAGCGAATTTATTTATGTAATACTAAAATAGGGATAGTTAAGTAAATTATAAAATTTAACTATTCATTTTTTTAAGAGTTTCTATATTACATACACACCTCACTTTTACCTTTTACTTAATTTTTTTGATTAGTGTTAGGTAAAAGGTGAGGGGCACACCTCCTATTTTTTCATATAATATCGTTTTATTGAAAGTTAATTTAAAAAAAGATGTTGTTAAATTGCAGCCCACTTTTCTCAAATACTTCTCTCAATATATTTACAGATGATCCTACGCTTTTAAATTTTAAAAATAGGAAGATATTGTCATATATCTGGAAAAGTTTTCTGAATACTGGAAAATTTAGTAAATTTTAATACAAGACGATATGATCTACAGTAAACTGTGATTTTTTATCCTGATACTTTAACATACTAAAACTCAATTCGTTTAAAAAAACTGCCCTCCGCCTTCACATGCTTTTTTATTACCAACTATGCCTCCTTTTTTTAACCAGAGATGTCTGATCGCTCGCCAGAATTTATAATTAAATATATAACACCCCTTATTATATAATCTTTCAGTTAGTAAGCATCCTACTTTTTGGATGAACCATTTTATTTGAGTAATTTTATCTTTTTCTCTCGACCTTATTTTTATGGGAAAATTTACTCATTACTTATAAAGTGTAAAATTAAAAAGCACAAAACGATGTGGTATGCGCTGAGAATACCTATGTTGTCTGGTTCAAGTTGAATATAAAGATTCGTAAAGCAACAAAGGTGGAACAGTGGCCCACATAACATAGCGAATATGCGTGCTTTTGCTTTAAATAACAATAGAGCAGTTCATATATGTGTATTTTACACCGAACCTAACTTCTCTTGGGGAAAAAATACAATTTGTCTATTTGGATACGTAAACCAGCGGTTTAAAAAGGTTGTGAAACTAGGCGGACAACGGGTAGAATGAGGGGAGGTGAGAGATTTCTTAGCTTGAACTGACCAGAAAATCTTTGATTGCACACCAAATTTTTAAAGTTAATAAACCATTTATTTAAACTTTACGTATTTCAATTTTTAATTACTTTCATTACAAACATTTATGGTAAAAAAATCCTCTTTGAATAATTATACTCCCAAGTGTCCCTCAAAACTAGATCTTTGTTTTATAAATACCTCTAACCTACATATAAAGTATTTTTCACGGTTCGGGAAGGAAGCTAACATTGGTATAGCCTTGACATATTCTTTTATTAATATTATATAGTAAAAATGTACCGAGAGCACCTCAAAACTCTTTCAAATTAAAATATTTTTAAAAACAAACTTGAAAGGGTCGCTTCTGAAAAGGTCAGTTAACTATATATGTATATACACACACATATATATATATAACTTTAACACGCTCGACCTTTCCCTTAAGATAAATTCTGAATGGGGGCTGCTATGTTTTTGAACAGGTGATATATCCTCGCGAGACCGTTTACATGGAGCGACCTATTCAGTTAAGGATCAGTGAGCATCACTAATATGATAGTTTTTAAAAGCTAATATTAAAACTTTGTTTCCTTACTATTACAAAAAATGTCAATTAAAAGTTATAAGAACTTTAGTAGGTTGAGATAAAACAAAGTTAGCTTGCATCCTTCAAATAACATCCTTTAGTTACTGACCCTTTTAAACATCACTTTATTGACACTAAAGAAAAATGCCTACGCTTTGTTTTTAAACATTAATATTTAATATACATACACACATATATACGTATATTAAATATGAATAGCTTTTGGTGTTTATATATCAATTTATAAGTTCATAAAGGGGAAATTTACTGATATATTATAGAGTACTAAAAAATTTTCTAGAAACATGTGGACCTTTAATAATTGTATTCCTCTATGAGAGGGAACATTTTCTGTACTTTTTATAACTTTTAAATTGTGAAGCGCTGTTTCGGAGCCTCTCTTTTCTGGCAAACGAAGCAATAAAAAGCTTTTTACATGGTTGCCCGTAATAATTTTTCAAGAGGTTATTAAATCATACTTTTTAAAAGCATTTATACAAAAAAAGAAAAGCTTAGGACTTGTATATAATGTTTTACCTTGGGTAACTTGTTTTTCTGAAATTTTTAGTGAAAAATGTGATGCATTTAAACTCTTGCAAGGTTTTACCTTTTTTAGAGTTTTTATGGAATTATCTGATTTATCTGTCTTTCGGAGTACATTATCTACTTAAGCTGCTTAAGTGGCATACAGTATAACGTTTTTTTTAGCAATACCACTTATTGAGCTATCATTGACTGTCCTTGTAACGGGATCGAAGACCTTCACAAAGTCTAGGCCCGCTAAAAAATGAACACTTGGTAACGTTCAGTTCAAAATACATAATTGAATATAGTAACCAATGTTTTCGTGAATTAAAACAACAATTATTTTCAGTGAAGACGTCAAAACTTTTGTAAAAGTAGGATTCCTACTGAAGTAGTGACTTCAAAGGTGGTTAGTCGCAGAAATTGTAGTATATTCAGTGCGCCGAAAACTTACAAAAAGCGTTTTTTGAAAAGTAAAGCGCCAAATTCGTTGCTTATTACCATGGAAACATTCAATTTGTTGGATTTAGAAACCTTAGATTGTTTCTCAACTTATATTGTGAGATAAATAGAAATTTATAGGCAAGAAAAAAAAAATGAAAAATACTTATTCAAAAGTTATGCTCAGCCATAAAAGAAAAAGAAATTATAGGGTTAACTTATGGAGAATACGTTCGTTAAAATTTTTTAATGAAAGCTGAACGGATATTTTAGAGTCTTGAACTATCTAGAAGATAATATTACGAAGAAGCATAAAATCTTGCAAAAAGTGGAACCTCGAAAGATAAGATAAATTTAGGGAAAAGAGCAAGTTGTTGCAAAACATTTTTACCAAAAGGTGGTTTTCTTCCGGTTAACTGTATAAAAGGTTTTTATTTAATTAATTAAATATCAGAATGTAAACAAGTAATTTCTAAAGTCTGATTTAAAGGAAAACAGAACACACTAGCCCTGAGCAGGAAACTATTAAAGTACGTCAAGTTGATCACACAGAGTAGAAGTCACAATTTATTAGAGTAAACCAGTTCTACTCTCTGGGGGTCCACGTTTTCTATAGCACTAAGGGAGTGCAACCCCGCTGATACAAAAGTTGTAGCTAATGACGGCCCTTTAATAAAGATACTGTTAGACAACGCCTCGGCAACTTCATTTAAACTGATAAGAAATCTCTTTGAAGGCCTTTCCGGCTTACAGTAGTTAAAGAAAATACCGCGCCCACACTTTTAAAAACCTATTTTATCCAATTGTCTTGCTAGATATTTCGAATCGAACCACATCTGAGCTCGAAAAGTTTGTAATCTAACCACCAAATTATTATTATAGTGTTAACACTAAGGCTGGTTACTTACAGTACTGAGGCGGTAACTAAAGTCTTGGGGTCAGAGCATTGTAAATAAATTATATCATGTAAACCTATAACACTTACAGATTAATTATATAAGAAAAACAGATAAATGCTCACATCTTGATATCCTCTGTGCAACATTCATGGCTCTCTGTGAATCTTGCATGAGCCCATAATCACTAATCTGAACGGATCCCAGAGTGGCCTTCATATGCGCGTCGTATTGTAAAATTATATGATAGAGACAAGTTATATTCAAGAGTACTTGCAAAAGGCAATTGATTTTTTGCGAAACAGTTTTTATTTTACCTTTTATTTTAAACCTACAATATAGGAAGTTTTATTAACTTTAAAAATATACCACCGATTTTCATTATACCTTAAAGGTAAAGTTTTAGAATTATTTAACGCATTTAAAATGCTTTTTTCTTTAGTACGTAAGCTAATCTCATCAAGAAGTTCTCTGCAGTCACAGAAAACTTCAATCTCAAGAAATAATGAATTTAGTTAAAAAGATTTCACCCCTCGCCTTTTTATTTTTACCATGTTTTTTAGGTCACACTCCGCACCAATCTTTAAGAGCTTAGAGAGAGTTTCGCAACACAGACAATATTTAGCCATCAACCTTCCTGGTTCTTTTTATTGTAAAGTAAATAAACACTATATTAGTTATAGCAAAGCTAACCAGTGGGTATAAGTGATAAAGAGTTTTCCTCAAAGTTAACTAAACCACTCGAGATCAAGCTATTAATTGCCTTCATACATGTTCCTTATATAAAAATAAAATAAATAGGGATGTTTGCGCGTGGATGTAGTATATGAAACCTTCCAGTAATTGTTTATCTATTTCAGCAGAAGTAAGGTTGCTTGATAAGCCATAAGCCTATAAATATAGTTACAGTTTATTAAAAGACCATGTACGAAAATTAGGGAAAAGTTAATGCGATAAGGGCGCTTCTCATTGGATAAAATATCGCCAAACAGGCAGTGATACCTCGCTAGCCAAGAGTTAATAAGAATTTTATATTATATATTATAAACTCGTAAGCCGCCGTACACAAGTACCCAGTGTTAGTGAAAGGAATGCCTTTTAGGTAAATTTCTAATATAACTGGCAAATAGATTAAGTAACAATTACAGAAGACGTATTGAAGAATTAAAAACAAGCAGCAAAGATAACAAATATGCTTTTTACACCCCAATATAAAAGTCAAACAATGTAAAATATATACAGAGATGCGAAAATAAAAACGCAAGTTAAAGGGGTGCCTGAAACTTCAATACCAGTAATAAGGGTAAAAATAAAGATAAGAACGAAAGAATTTATTTGTAGCACACTACCTGCGGCGAGCTTTGTATTCTTTGATACAAAAAAGTCGATTTTAACCAAAGTAGTGCCTAGACATTAATTGTTTAAATAATATATTAACAAAAAGATAACTATGCAACACCGAATCCAGACTGCAAATTAATCCCAAAACTATTTCAGTGTTCAAGTGCTCACTAAGATTTTCTAACAATCTTCTCCAAGTTTTTAAAAACAGATATAATAGTAATTGAACAAACAAGTCAACCTGCTTTCAATGGGTTGTGCGTTTGATAACAAGTTTTCGTAGTTTGCCTTTGTGGTATTTGTTGTCAAAATTATGGCAGTTGCCGTTTTGTCAAACTGTTAGAACAGCAACTTGAATGATATTAAAAGTAAAGATAACGATTATAAAGTATATGAAAAAAAAATGAATCATTTAGACTTGGGGTCTTCCAGCCCGACCAATCATTTGCAATATTTGGGTTTCACTATATTCTACAAATTTTTGCCGCTCATAATATTGGGTAGACTTAATAATAACTATTTAAATAAAATAAATAGGGCCATGCATTTTGATAAATTTTTTTAAATTACCTAAATGTGCAGGAAGATTAACCTTTCAAAATGAAAATCACCATAAGTGTTTATAAAAAATTAAATAATTATAAATACTTACGCCTATAGCCAAAGTTGAAGTGGAAAATATAACTGGTAGATATGATTTGATAAATAAATTTTCTATAATACTTCTGTCTCTAGTTTATATAAAGAAAATAATATAAAGGAAGTCTACAGCAATATCTCGTTATAAAGAAATTAGCAGCTTTATTAAAAAAATTAACTATAGTTAACTTTAGAGACGATGTTTTACTTAAGAGCTAAAAATAAATATATTTATACAACTTTATTTTGAAACAAAATTAACAGGTGTACAGTAGTTACCTATTAGAAACACCAGCGTTGTGGAATGCGATACCCGCTTTAATATATTCTGTTTTAATAAATGAAAAATTAAACTTTTAGTAGTTAAATAGTCCCTAACCAAAATATAACCTTTAAGTGTTTTGTCGGACAACTTCAACATCTCCGTTTCTATACTTTGAAAAAAAAATTATAGTTACTGTGTAAGTAAATTGGAATTCGCCACAAGATAAAATTATCTTAAAATATTAGAGCGTTCAAGAATTTAATAGAACAATAATTTCTTTAAAGGAAACACAAGCACTAGCTGCAACTGGTTCTGCAGCAGAGGGAAGTCCATTAAATAATATACTAAGTTTTAGGAGTTGACGAGTTATGTAATGTTCTCCTTCTTAGAGTGAGCATATTGAAAACTTCTTGCGCTGCCTGTTGGGTCCCCTTCCGCGTACTGCAAAACTTAAAAAAAGGAGGGGAAGGAAGGTACAGGTCGAATAGTAGCAAAGAGCAAGGGTACCACTAAACATGGCCTGCCGCAGCTATATTGGTCAATCAAGTCTAAAAGCTTATAATTCTAATAAAAAACGATCTAAATAATATGGAAGTAAGGCACATATAACTAAAATTCATACCAGCCTTGTATCAAAAAGGTAAGGATTAGGGGCTTCAGGAAAACCCAAAACCACTTGTTCTAGAAGTACGTAAATTTCGAGTAATAATAATTGCTCCAAAAAGGTATACATATTACTTAAATGAACTGGGCGGTACGAGGCATCTAAGCTAAGAAAGAGTTAGTATATTACTATGATTTAAAGTTGGTTGGATTAAAAATAAACTGTTTCTCTTTATTTGATAGATTTATTTGTTAAAAGTGACTATACGGGGTACAAACGTTTTATAAGTTGCTCTTCGTGAAGTAGTTAACCAGTTGGCCAGGTCTGTAAACGGTACATGCCAGTTCAACCTCAAACTTGTAAGAAAGTGTCATACCTTCAATGTTGGGTATAGTCGCTGATGCTGCAATAAACCTCGCGTTGGGGCCTCCAGATAGAAAAAAAAAGGAGAGTTAAATAGAACACAAGATTTTTGGTGGATTATTGTGCTGTACTTAAAGCTTTCATACGACTAACAAGAGCCTCTAAAGTAGCCCCTCTGGGTCTTTCGTTGAGCAGATGGACTTCATCTATAGTAATAAGTTTTTTTTCATATCATGGAAAGGGGTGCTTAAAAAATTGACGAACCCAGCATTAGAAGATTTATAGTCTTTTTCAAGCTCGGATAATAGGACTGTAAGAGCGTGTGAATTAGATATTAAAGCTTAGAAATATTGAAACTTTTGTCTAAGTCAAACCACTTATTTATAAAAGAAAAGTTACAACGATACCCAACGCCGAGTTACGCTGTCCCACTTCTCAGGAGTCGTAAGGATAATATTAGAAGTTTCTACCTTTATTAGTGAAAAAGACCGAAAAGATAAATAAAATAGGGGTTGATAGGCTATATAATTTATAAGACCATACTATACTCTTGAAAAAAGGTTAAAAGTCACCACATACATACATTTAAGTACCTTTTCCAAGTCTTCATCAAGCGTATCCCCTTTAATTTTAATTTTGAAGAACATTATATTTGTATCCACGAATGGGTGTAGGTAAGAGTTGAACCTGTTATCGCAGCGCATCTTATACCCAACCTAGCAAACTTTTTAGCCCATTCTAAAAGCTTTTGCGAGCATAATGCCTTCAATGGCGAAACATAGACCTGTAAAGCGAGCTGCTCTGCTAAAAATATACAAGAAATAATAAAAATATTTAAACCATAAAAGCTTCAGAAGAGAGGTCGTTCAAGGATAATAGTTCTCGTACGATTGCTAATTCAAACACCACAGTTTTGCCAGACCCTTTTGCGTATAAAAAATTATATATTTTCAAAAAGTTAAGATAATTGCAGTGATCCTCGTTTTAATTAGATAAGTCAACCAGTAGGAGCCGACAAGACAAAGTTTACTTCGGAAAAAAAAACCTTTTTATAATTTGGTTATGTTGGAATATGTAGGAAAGAAAAGTTTACACTAAGCTTTTAAAATACCTCATCCAAGCACTGGCTTTGAACTTTATTAAAATAAGCAAATTCGAAAATGTAACGATAATTTTTGGCTAATTAAGTTTGAGAGGAAAGAGATTTTTCAAAGTCATAAAAACAAAGAGAAAAGGCTAAACGTACGGATTTCATCCAAGGATCTTAATTTTCTTGACTCGCAATGCTGCCAGTTTGAAGGGGGAATGCAAGAGTTATTAGGTCTTCTATACATAGTCAGAGAGGTAACTATAATATAGTAGAAAATAAAGAAACTCGTGGATAAAGGAAACACTGTGCCCCAAATGTAAGTCCCTAAAACAAAGGTTAACTATTAGCATTGCTTCAAAGGGTAAAGCTTTAACTAATACCTAGACTTTCTGGGATCAATGTTAAAAATACTTTCTGTAAACGTTATATTTAGTGCTATTAATATGGCCCAGGCAACTTCTTAAAAAGTGAAGAGGAACCTAACGTTTTGTCGACGTCCGAAGGAAATTCAGGTATGAAATCCATTAGACGTAGAAGAAAGTGAAAACGGTCTAAATATGAAAGCCAAAATGAGCCTAAAAATGTGGACGGGGCATTCTTTATATTAAGCAAAAAACCGTAATGGCGCGAAAACTATAAAAAAAATCGATAACATTATTTTAAAGAAAAAATTATGCCAACAAAAAGTAGAGCTCGATTTTAATAACATTCAGTACAAAAGAAAATTGCTGCAAGAAGCAGTCATAAAACAAATGGAAAGTTTGGTCGCTCGTCTAAAAATATTTTCAGAAACCATACAGTTGTTAACAGATAAAACAATATTATATTTAAGAAAATTGGATAGCAAATATAAAAACAGGCCTCAAATAAAAATAATTTTTTTTTTCCAGGACAGAATATTGCCCTATAAGTCATGTCCTTAAATTTAAAAACAAAGAAATATTTATGTATCAGTACTTGCCTTAAACCAAACAGATGCGTATTGAGTCTAGTTAAACCTGCAGAGCGAGAAAATGTTAAGTGTTTCCTAGCACAGTATGCTAAAGTATTATGTAAACTTAAACTTCAAAATAAAAGGAATTAGAATACCAAATAATTTTAACTCGAACTTATATTATAGCTATATGACAAAATTATAAAAAGGAGCGTCCGTAATATGCGTTGCTCGTTGTAAAAAACACCAAATAATGTACTACAGTCCACTGTTTAAAGTGATGAAAATAACAGAACATAACTTAAGGACTTACAAAGGTAAGATTTTTTAAAAGTGTAAAGAGTTGAAACGTTGAACTACGTAGGGGTTTCAATTTAATTATTTTACCCACAAAATTGGTACAAAAAGAAAATAATAAAAAAAAATTAAAAGGATAAAACAGAAGTCCTGTATAACACAACTATTCATAGAAAATATTATTCTCATCTTAAATCCTCTTCCCATATGAAAGCTTCTGAAGTAAATATGTCACCAAAATTTTTTATAAAAACGATTTATTTTTGCAAATTAAAATTAAGTGTTAATAAAAAATTTTATTGCAATAATACTTAGACCAATAAAATTATTGGGGGAGCAAGGCAGAAGCTCCAGTACTAAAATCTTTTCTCATTAAAGTTTGTGCCAAAATAATATAAGTTTGACCACAAAGGTGTCACGTAGAGCCCACAACTATAAAAATAGAAGCTTACTGTAAAACATACTTGTGAAATTTGTTCAGGTTAGCAGCTAAGGACTTTAGTTTTCTTAATATTTGGTAATTAATGTAACACTGAAAGCGAGCGCAAACCTGTAATTTTTATTTCAAAAAAATAGTATTATATATCCTTAATGGCCTTTTATACAGGACTAGTAAAAATATGAATGGTTCAAAAAATTTTGTACTTAATGTGTTGTATAGCACGGTTTAATTGAACAATCGAGTTTGTCTTTTTTAATTTGGCCACTTTTGACAGAAAAACTTTTAAATAAGCGTTAATAAGTAGATGTTATCTCTGTAAAGTATATCGCGGAATCCGATAATTTAGGACCAAGGAGTTTATAAGAGTTATCGTGCACTGCTTTAGGATAGTCTATAAGTCAAGATTAATAACACTAACACCGGAGGAGGCGAGGAAATAAAGGACAGGAGTTGTTTTATTATGGGCAATCAAGCCATTTATTCACTTTTGCACAAGGTTGAAAAATGCATCTCCGTTTATGTATTTTTGTTTATATTAATTTAAGATTATAATAATGTTTAATTTGGTTCTGTTTAGAAGAGAATGTCAGGAAATAATTTACCATACCATAATTGTACACAATAATATTTGTTCCAAAACCTGTCAAACTGTTTAAGAATGCGTTTTTTGAAAAATATTTTAAATATTTGATAGGTTTATTTTCTAATTATTATTTCTCTGTAGTTATTATTATTTCGATGTAAGTGTAATTTTTAATAAAGACCACGTTGTAGTCGCCTGCCTTTTGCGTTTTATTGGTACAGTTAAAATCAAAAGTTACATATGTACTGTAAACTGTAAAATTGACGTTATCGTTATGATCTTAAAAAATATATATATAAAATTATAGAAAGCAAAGGGAACACTTGCAAATTAGCACTTCACTATTTAGAGATTTTAATTGACAGTATTCTCTATTTTTTTTATATTGAACCTCCATCTAATCATTAGAATTTCCGCCTTATTTCACTTATTTTTTGCTTCGAAAAGATTGCTGAGATGCTAATACTCGAGAGGCAATAAAAACTTTCTGATGTAAACTTAATTGTTTTTTTATTTCAAATTTGAGAGTTCCAAGATTTGTAAAGCCCACTTCCAAAGGTAACCTATAGTAATGAGCGCGCTCTATTTTTTAACAGTGAAAAAAAGCATTTAATCAAATTTGGCATAATAGCTTACCAGAGAAATTGTCTACCTTAACAATATTAAATTTCCTTTATTATCTCGTTTAAGGTCCTTCTTAAACCAAAGGTGCCTATAAGTAAAAATTGGTAACACCTTTTTTAACCTAAGAAAGCGCAGGTTTAGGGTACCAACGGCTGAAAACCTTGCAATCATGTCACATGTGCTGATTACCTAGAGATATACTCTAGCTTAAAATGTTTCCTTGCCACAAAACGTTTTACAACAATATCATAATAAGCTTAGGGATTAAACGTTGGCGCGCCTAACCGAAAAACACGTGCTTCCTTAGAGTTAACCCCAACAAGGTAGGTACCACCTTTTGGGTGGTAGCATATCCAACAGATAGAAGAGTACAATGCTCTCCGGTTCAAGTCCGCCATTCATCAGAAAAGTTGATTACTAAAATTATAATTAAATAGTGAGGTATGAAAATGACAATCATTTGAGAAGTTAAGGGGTTATTTTATAATTTTATTACCCCCTTTAAAGTGGGTGTCCAACAAATAAAAATGGCCAAAGTCAATCAAGGCCGTAACGCAACGCTCTACCGCTACTATGCACAGAAAGTGTGTTGGTCTACGCTTCTTCTGCGGAACCCTTCGATGCACCTTCCACAGTGACAGCACTGCAGACGGGGCAAAACAAGCTACTGCGACTTTAGATTCGCTCATCAAATTTAGTACTCCCTCAAAACAACCTTTACAATTACTTTGTTCTCGTACAACTCGAGGTCAAGCTTATTAATGATGCGCATTCCTAAAACGCATTGGATGCCACCCATACGCAGAAGATATTTGTAAATTGCATTGTAAAAGAGAAGATGGAATATCTATATTATTAGATGTATTTCGAGCACTCAGGTTATTTTACTAAAAACTTCCACATCTGTTCTTCTTCTTCATCTAATTACTTTATTAATTTTTTTTTTGGTTAAAAGATCCCCTTTTACTTTGTAGCCGGGCAGCAATAGAAAAGTGATAAACTGTAATAATCTTTTTAAAACTTAACGGTTGGATCCCATAAAATTTACTTAAAAACTAAACTTAAAGTCAGAAGACCCCACCTGGAAATACCCTTAATAACAATTTATACATACTCTCCAATTACTAAACGAGTCTAAATACGGCATGTATAATAACAAAAACACAGAGAGGGGTCTAAAGGTAACCAATTAAATGCCTACAAAAACAGTAGTTAATAATTTACCGTCCTTTCCCATCACCTTCTTGTTCCTCTAAATTGATGTCTCTGCTTTTTTTTAAAACACCGAAATTGGCATAGTAAATTCATTTACTACTTAAAAATTGTTATTAACGTCGAAGGTATTATTCCCTCTCACTCAAAGAACTCTTTAGTAAACGTAGATGATTAAAAGAAATATATAAATAGAGGAGCTCCAAGAAATAAGGTAGCTTTCTACGATTAGCGTGGTCTGAATGCTTTTTATAACAACCTTTGGAATATGGGCTAGGGACCAAGGGGTATTATTATACCTATTATTAATAATTAGAAATAAGTCATTAATCCCTAACAAAAAGCCACTATTCTCACAAAGTTTTTTATCCTCTTAGTGCATGACCTCTACAAAAAAATACTACGTACATTATCAAATATTATCTAACTTTTGTGAAGATGCACTACCTTCCTCCATATGTATTTACTAATAGAAAGGATGTTATTTCAAACTGTAATTATAAAATGAATATTTAAAAGTACAAGCTCCGATGTTATATCTCATGCTTAAAAACCTTTTTATAGCAGCAACCATGGTGTACCTTTTAGGCTAATTTATTCTTTTATCTACCAGGGTTACTATTCCACATGATGGAATCAGTCAGAAGTTATTCTTACTCAAAAAGTAATGATACTAGAGGTTATGCCAAAGATTATCGACTAAGTAGTTTACTTTTCTGTGTTGCCAAAATTACTGAAGCTATAATACACTCAGGTTTACAAAAATCCGTAATTGCAGTTCCCTCATATCAAAATGGTTTTAAAACACAGAATACATTAAGTATTGTGGATAAATAGAGGCCTTTAATTACATAAGATCAATAATAAAGTTTTTATTAGATATAGGTAAAACTTTGGTAGAGTCTAACAAGAAAAACTTTATTATAAACTGATTAACCGCAAGTTACCGAAAATCTTACCCGCGTTTGTATTTATTTGATAATAGATCATTGTACGTACAGGAGAAACTTGTGCACCCCCAAAATCCTATAAGCTCTCCCTCGGAGTACTCTATTTTCACCTTTATTATTTAATTTATATACATAGGATACACTCACTTTTTTTCCAATAGCCTCTCTAATCTAGACGCTGACGGCTCTGCTCATATCTTCTAATAAAAAATAACTAGCATTGACCACTAAATAAGTGCAGACCTATCTTTACTTGAAATCTGGTTTTCTGCGTGGAAAACAACATCAAACGCCCGGCTATGCTCATCCTTAGATAATAAAGAAAATAATTAAACCTTTAACGCTCTTGTGAACTCCCATTCCCTAGTACAATAGATTAAATACCTTGACGACCCCTGGAATTTATTAGGAACTTCAAATTAAGTATCTAAAAATTCAACTTTTGCTTTATCTTCCCTTATACCAATTGAAATCACTTGAACTCTAAAAATAGGTTCCTTATGTATAAAAGTTATTATTAAGTTTTGTATGAATTACGCATCTGTAGCATTTGCCCCCTGCTCGGCTTTGTGCGTTTACACATTTAAAATGCCCCTTTAGAATGTTCACTGACGCATCTTGGTTTTTGCGAAAACTCAATTGCACCATAGATGTGAGACCGAACTACTTTTGCATACCTTAAACAACGGCCGTTTAACGTTTTAGTTAATATGAAGAACAGCCTAACTATTTAATAACTAATACATTGAATACCTCCATGCACATTTCCTAAATATAACGACCTAAACATTATCTGATGTTTTATAGAAAGCAATTCTGTAACGGCTTTATAACACTACCAGCTTTTATAATTATATATATTCGGGAGAAAAAAAGAAAAGTATAATAAATAATGGGCGCTTAGTAGTTAACATTGCTGTCTTCATGCGCTACAGATCTTTAACCTCGGACCACCAAAGCAAACGGCCTATTCCTTTACACTTAGTGGGGTTGCAAGTTACGCTGATAATATGCAATTTTTCTGCAATCTTCTTTAGTAAACTTCGTCAAAAACAACACACACTTTAGATGCTGTTTTTTTGGCAAATACGGTATCTGTGCTCATTGCACACAGGTGCTGAATACTTAATACAGCAGCCTTGTTTTTCGATCTGAAGATAGTTTATATAAAGCATAGCTTGTTGCTTTTTTAGTTTTATGTGATTGGGTATTTTCCGCCGGGGTATATTGTATCCTTTTCTGGGCTCTTGTACTAAATTTTTTAAATTACAGATTTATCTCCTTTGTTAGTGGTTTTATAACTTCTATCCATTTGAGGTTTTGCTAAATGCAGTCAAAACTCAAAAAGATATTTTTCTGTGCCATCCTCTTAATTTTTTTGACACCTGCTTGGTCAAGTATGCCATAAGTAAACCTAAATGGCCGTCTACGAGTTTTGCGGTAAAGAGAATATGTAGCATCCAGTCAGAAGTAACAACTCCATCTTGAAGTAGAGTTATAGAAATTTAATAAATCGAATTTCGCCAGTACTTTTATTAAAAACGAATTGTAAAAAGTAATATTACTGACTTGGACTTTTTTAGGGTAAAAAAAAAGCAGTTCTGTTGTGATCAAAGCTAAACTGAAATGAAAAAATGGCGAACCAATATTAGGAAAAAGGCTTTTCCCTTTTAATTTTTTTTTAAGGTTCCAATAATCTTAAGCTTTTAGTTTTTTAAATGTTCCGGTTTATGAGATAGAGATAACCAGCTATTTATAACTATATTTTTGGTAGTGCCATGAATAGACCGAAACTATGTTGTAAAGTTGTGCAATTTAAAGCCTTAGAAGGAGCTTCTTTTACAACGTAAAGTTCAGCGCTTATCATATAAAGGGTACGGGCTCGCACAAGGTAATTATTTCAAAAATGTAGTCATTATTTTTCTCTTCTTCCAACCAATCTCGTAAAACCTAAATTATACAAAAAGACGTCAAAAGTAAAAAAAAGGCATAAAATCACAAACTTATCCTTAGTCAGGGTCTGTTGGCCTCAATGACTTCCTTATGCGTTTGCAAGGTCGAGGATTATTAATTGTGAATTATTTTTTCCATTTTAACTTCAAAAACATAAACAATATTAATTTTATTTATTACAGAAAACCTTATTTTATTTACCCGTCATCCTAACAGCAACATATGGCTAACTGCAATGAGCGTTAAAGAAGACTGACAGATAGCCCTTGTAGAACATAACCTTGGGAGTAATACCGAATTAAATCGTGAATCCTAAAAAATACCTGGGGTTACGCGTATATTTAGTACCCTAGGGTTAATTGTGTGAAGGCGGCCGCCCTCCTTAACCCTCCCTGCAATTCGGGAATACAGACAAATCGATTTAAACTCTAAGTGAAACGATTGAAGTATGTCAAAACGATTACTAGATGCAAATAAATAATAATCTCCGATATACCCAAAGAGTTGAAACTTGTAATATTTCTCAACCCTTCACTTTCTTATAAAGAGCTTTACCAAACAGGCCGTGTATGCTCTATTTCAAATTCAAAATTTGATTTTATGCTGTATTTAAAAAGAAAGGAGATTGACAGTTGTCGGCCTTTAAGATATTAACTACTCACTTTAATCAAAAAAAATCTGTCCTCTTTAAAATTTAAATAGCTTCTTTTTTTGTAAATGTACTATAAGATTTCGAAGAGAAAAATATAAATTGCACCTCTTTTTTGAATTACAAATTTTTGGAGTAAATAAAAAAAATATATTTCATCTTATCAAAAAAATTAACTTAAATTTTTTATATATTTATATAGTTAAAATATAATCTTCTAAGTTAACTAAACAGCAAAAAAGTATATTTTTAAGCCTATATCACATAAAAATTGCGAATACTTATTTAACTTTATTTGTAATCGGCTCTTCCTGGTACTAGTTTTCTGTCAGAAACTTCGGATTAATCCAGATTACTTGCATTAGACCAAATGTTAAACGTATTATAGCTTTTGAGCATCTCTAAACTGGTTTTTACGGAGGAATGTAGTATAGTTTCAACTCCCTCGCCCCCTCGAGGGAGAGGGAACGGTGTTTTTACACAGATTTACATTTTGGAGGGCCTTCACGTTACACCATCTTCCGGTACGCTCCCAGAAGATGTCGGTTCAAGTTTTATCAGCAGGTTTTTATTACTTACAAAGCGCTTTCCTTTCATTTTACTGCTAATCGTTTAATGTTACTGTTTATCTAGCTTTCACCTTACCTGCTGGACTAAAAAATTTTTATTAAGTAATATAATTGACTTATTTTTTTAAAAATATAAATAGGTTGTGTTCTTTCACTCTTGGATGAAAGAGATGTATACCTTAAAAACTACGCCTTACAAAAGCTTGACCTTTTGGTGGAAGATAACTGGGCTGAAATTGCGGATTACTTGGAAAAGATGTGCGTTCTCCCCCCTCCTTTTTTTTTTTATTTATTGAAAGTTATTTTACAAAGGGATTTTAAAGCTTTTTTCCATTTAGAAAACCTCTATGCGAAGATTCTTCATTTAGTGAACGTCGGTTAGCCGCTTTACTCGTGTCTAAAATCTACTATCACTTGGGAAATTATAAGGATTCTCTAAAATATGTTTTACTCTCTGGCGAAACTTTCAACGTCAACGAAGATTCTCAATATACCGGGACAATGATATGTAAACATTAATAATAGAAATCTTCTTAATTTTATATTTACTTATTATATTTAGCTAAAGCTATACAGCAATATGTTATCCTTCGCTGCGAACCACCCCAAGATTTAGAGTTCACTGTTAATTCCAGATTAGAGCAAATCGTGGATCTCATATTTGAAAAAAGTTTAAATAATGGACAGTTTAGACACGTAATTTTTCAACTATACTACCAGTTATTTCTAAATTCGATTTTTTTAATAATATTACTATTTAACGAAAACATAGTTTTTTTATAATTGCAAGGGTATTTTAAAAAGTTGTTTCGTTGGTCTTTTACTATATAGTATATTTTATAAAATAATTTATGTTGATGTTTTTTTAAAGAAATTTTATTATTTTTTTCTGTCACTAATATTATATATAATATTTAAAGTTTTGTTATTTTAAATTTTCTAAGTTAGTAAGTAGTAATCCGTGAGTTAATTTTTTTTGGTTAATGCTTGCGACTTTTTAACACTTTTTCTTTCGTGTAACCAGGTAATTGGGATCGCCTTGGAAAGTAGACGAACAGACATATTTGAGCGCGCTATCGTTTCCTCGAGAAATCAGCATGAGTTGCTCAAATATTCACTATTCGTCTGCATGAATTTCATACAGAGCAGAAACTTCAGAAATACAGTTAGTTTTATTTAAGTTTAATTTATTATTCTTTACATAAACTAAATTTTTGGTATAAAGAACACCGTTAGAGTTATTTAATGAGCAGTTATTAACTTTTTGTTTTTATTACGCCGAGTTAATCTTGTATTATTTATTTATTAATAGTTCACCCTCTTAAGTAATTTCTCACGTTTATTTTACTTTTCGTTGTAATTTTTAAGATTAGTTACCTGCATTAGTTTCTATTAAGATTAATATTATAATTCCAATGGTTTACGTATAAAGTTTTTGAACTCAATCGGTTCTTTCTCACTAGATTTTACTAATTTTAGTTAGTCGCTACTTTAACCTAAGCGCTCACACATGACGTATAAAATTCTCGTTTAACTAATGGGGGCTGTTAATTTTGTTGAGTTTTTTCTAATTACAGCTCCTTATTTTTATTGTAGGTTTTGGAGATTCTCGTAAAATTATTTATGAGCTTGGAGCATCCGGACTACGTGAATATTTGTCACTGCTTAATTCATTTGGACGATACACTTCAAACAGCCTCCATGATTGGCCGGTTGCTTATAGCCGACGAAGTTATATATTTTTTACACGTTGAACTATAAAAGTTTTGTAGTTGTGCATATATAATACTTTAGTAACCAAGTAGAGGTTGCAACAATAATAAATTTTGTACAGAAGAGTCTTCTTCTTGCCTTCCAGCTGTGCCTGGACATCTACGAAAGCGCTTCGCAGCATTTCATCAGCGCGTTATCGGTTTCATTGCAAAAAGAGCCCCAAGAAAACGCTGTAGTTTATTTTTTTGACGTCCTCAACAACGTTACCTTTTATTTGTTGTAATTATTATTGCATTTCAGACTTTTAAAGAAAATTTGGATAGAGCGCTTTCTATTTTGTCTGGTAAAGTTACCATAAATATTCATCGAGAATTTCTTTTTCGGAACAATAAGACGGACTTGCTCATTTTGTATAACTATAAAGTACTCTTATTTATCACTTGCTTGAGTCTTCTTGAAACTTCGCCACTGCTCTTCTTGCAGCAGTCCTGCGGTATAAGCGCCGTCTGCCACAATGCAATCGTCCTCGCGCACGCTTACATGCAAGCGGGAACGACCGACCACAAGTTTCTACAAGAGAATCTGGAGTGGCTCGGGCGCGCTCAGAATTGGGCAAAGTTTAGCGCTACTGCCACGCTCGGTCACTTGTCTAATAAGTTTGTGAAACAAAATTTCTATTGGTCAATTAGGAGTCATCCACCGAGGGCAAATCAGAAATTCCCGAAATATATTATCTTCTTATTTGCCCCGTGGCAATACCTCGAGCATCTATACCGAAGGCGGCTCGCTGTTTGCCTATGGTCTTATCCACGCCAACCACGGCGATGATGTTCGCGGGTGTCCTTCTTTCTGCCCTTTTTTTGTAGAGCTTCTTGCTGACACTCCCTCGCATTAGCGACTTGTTGGAGTACTTGAAGGAGTCGTCGGTGGTCGAGGTTTTACACGGTGCCAGCCTGGGCGTGGGCGCCGCCATGATTGCCACCAGCGACAAGGAAGTATACGCTGAACTCTACAGAATACTACAGGCACGCTGTTGTCATGCTTACTGTTAGGTAGTAAACAATATTGTACTAGACCGATAGCGCCATCGCTGGCGAAGCAGCGGCCATTGGGATGGGCTTGGTTCTTTTAGGAACAGCAGAGGCCGAGTGCGTCGACCAAATGCTTCAATATGCACGAGTGACGCAACATGAAAAAATTATCAGAGGTCGTGCTAAATTCTATCATCTTATCGTTATTATTTTTTATTTTCCCACCAACAGGGATCGCGCTTGGCATTGCTTTTCTGATGTATGGACGAGAAGAAGAGGCGGATCCTCTTATCTCTGAACTCTGCAAGGACAAGGACTCTGTCATACGCATGAGCGGTACTTTTGGCCCTCCGTTCTTATATGCTTTAGTTGTGATCTCTGCGTCGAAGGGATGCACACCATTGCAATGTCTTACGTGGGAACGGGAAACAAGAAGGCCATCCTGAGGCTTCTTCATTATGCTGTTAGCGATGTTAGCGATGACGTTCGTCGCACAGCTGTCTCTTCTTTGGGCTTCTTATTATTCCGAACTCCCGAGCAATGCCCTTCCCTCGTTTCCTTATTAGCGGAGAGCTACAACCCTCACGTGCGATACGGTATGAAGCAACCAGTTCACAGTGTATCTACTAAAAAATCCTTTTACCAGGAGCCGCCATGGCCTTAGGGGTGTCCTGCGCTGGGACGGGTCTGCGAGAAGCCGTTACTTTACTTGAACCCATGACTAGTGACGCAGTGGAGTTTGTTAGACAAGGTCCCTTGCTATTAGCTAGGGTCGTAAAAGCGCACGAGAAATATATTTTTGTATCTGGTATCTAAAAGGGGCCCTAATTGCTCTGGGAATCGTTCTTATACGGCAATCAGAGGCTCGTGTTAAAAAGGCTGGCGTTATTAGAAAGTAACTTGTAACCTTCTAGCTTTGCCCCGCTGACTTCTGCTTGTTGTCATTTAGACTTTTTGAAAAAGTGATAAACGACAAGCACGAAGGCCCTCTTGCCAAAATGGGCGGAATCCTCGGCCAAGGCATCATCGATGCCGGTGGATTCCTATTGTTTATGAGCTGTACACGTATTTTAATGCTTTTATTAGGTGGCCGGAACGTTACGATCTCGTTGGAGTCTCGGACGGGCCACACCTCCATGAAAACCGCCGTTGGTCTACTTCTTTTCCAGCAGTTTTGGTATTGGTTCCCCTTGGCAAACTTTCTTTCGCTGGCCTTCACTTCGACCGCGCTTATTGGCTTGAATAAAGAGCTCAAGGTAAGGGGGATATCTTGCATGCTGTTAAGGGGCGTTTTTCACTCACAATCTCTATAAAAGATGCCGGCTTTAGAGTTCAAGTCGAACTGCAAGCCGGCCTGGTTTGCCTATCCCTCTGCCATTCAGAAACCCCATGAGGCCCCGCGTTCCCGCTTCTCGAGCGCTATACTTTCCTTCACGGAGAGATTTTTAAAGAAGCGCGAGCGAAGAGATCTCGACAAGGAGGCCCCGCCCTCCGACGTCGAGGAGCACAAGATGCACGTGGATAGTAAAGAATTGGAAACTGAAAAGGAGGCGCTTTCCGAGATGGAGGAACCGAAGGTCTTTTGTTTTCTCCTGCTTTCCCCACTTTAATATATATTATCTCCTTTTCAAGGAAAGCAAAGGGGAGAAGGCGACAGAGAAGGAAGCGCCGGCGGAGTTAACATACGAATTACTTTCCAATCCGGCGGCAGTGGCCCCAGAGCAGTTGAAGTATGTTGTGCTCCCCCCCGACTCGAGGTACCGACCAATCCGGGAGCTCGGCGGCATCGTTTTGTTGGAGGACACCACTCCGGATGCGCCCGCCGAATTCGTCGAGTTTTCTGCTCCTCAATTTGGTAGTTACCATTTTTCTTAAAAAACGTATTTAATGAAATCGGTTTTCTAAGAAAAACAAGAGGATGAAAAAGACGAACCCGAACCGCCGCAGCCCTTTGAATACGACGAAGATGAGGAGACTACAACGAACGAGACTTAAAGAAATCCTATTGAAAGAACTATATTAATAAACTTCGGTGGCTGGATATTTTTTTAACGGGGCTTCTTTTATAATTACTACTCTTAGAAGTTGCAATAAACAACAAACATCTTTTGTACTTCCCTCCTTACTGTAATAATGCGCTTTTGAACTGCATTGGCAATAAAAACAAATATCTGTCGTATTAAAAATTTCCATTATTCTTTTTTATAAAGATAAATTATAAAAGATAAAAAATTCTCCAACTTTATTTAGAAGTTTCGCAATAAGAAGTTGAGAAAATTCTCATAACTTTAACCTAAGTATTAATTAATTAATTTAAGGATCCTATTTGCTGTTGTACTATTGTAATAAGAGGGTTTCGAATATAAGGGTTATATAAAACGTGAAAGGATAATTCTCTAACTAAATAGTTATAGTCTTAATATTATAATAATATATTTTACTTAACAGTGTCCGCTATACCGAGCTGATTGTTTGTAAGGCGGTCTGCCCTTTTTGAGTGTGCATCCTAAACGAAACTTCCGTAGATACCATAGATAAAAGACAAAATTTATCCTCGTCGTCTGCGAGGAAAAGCTCCTGTGTAGCCTTTAATAAAAAACTTTGTCGTTGATGAGATACCAATATCAGGAGCCCTTCCTATAAATTTTTTAACCCTTTTGCGAGTTGTAGGTTTTTACTTAAAGAATTCCAATTCGTTAACAGTTCAGGAATTCAATATATAATGTACGTATTAACTACCGTTTAGCATCTTACGACGCTTAATATAAACAACCCGCCCGATTGCTTTGGCCTGAACAGCTTTTAACCAGTTTTTAATGGCAGTTTTAGGATAAAGAATATCGTGAAAATCTAGTCTTGGCATCCATAGTCAAAACCTTCTCCAACAGTGCGGTTTCCTACCAGACCTATCAGTGCGCAAGTTTGTCACTTCTTAATTCTTCAGTGTCGGATGCCGGTGTCTTGGGAACTCAATATCTGTTATACGAATTTCGTTCTGTAAAAGAGTTCTTCATAGTACAATTAAGCTGTATATTCTTAGCCAAGGACTTATTACACACTAGTAACACAGGTTTAATAACTTCATATTTCAGTGATGCTTGGAAAAAAGGTATTACTTAAACTTCAATTATATCACACTGCACTAGGAGTAAGAGTGACGTATGGAACTGAACCTTAATTTTTATTATCAACATGTGCAATGCCTAATAAAAACGAGCGCAGATTGCTTAGTTTTGCTAGTAACTTAGATTACTTTGCTTAGTTCGTATTTATTATGTGTAAGCTTTCTCAGCATATTATATATACAGATTTATTATGGGTAGAGTTTACAAACAAGTGTGCGCTTAAAGCGCTTCGCGAAGCCGTCGATAGCATGCGTTTGCCCAGGGTTCGTATGTAAGTACCTAAGAAAAGAAATATTTGCGTATTAAAAAGTCGTCCCAGACAGGTCGGGGTGCAATTTAGCATTGCGCATGAAATAATGTACGCTGGTCATTAGTTGCAGGAGTGAACCGTCGATAGTTTTTCAGGTCTAAGCAACGGAACAGAGGCAAAGACATTTTTAGGACGCACACACTCTTTATAGAGGAGCAGTTTATTGCGTTTTTCGCGCAGAGCAGCGGGCCAAGTGCGTTAATTACTGCTTTAACCTTGGTCGCAACGAATTCTGTGTTAACGCTAGTCGCCTACCAATGACGATGCCTAAGTATTCGGCCTGGGAGCTCCGTAAAATCTTAAAAATTTCGTAAATTACAAGCGAAAGTAACGCAGAGCATCTTTTCGAATTGAAAATTCCTTTTTATAGATTCATGGTTACCTCCCTTGCCAGCACCTGCCAGCAAGGGTTTTCGAGTAGCTTTCGCAATAATGAGGGCTACTTTGAAGGTGCATAGACTGCGGTGTCATCGGCGTAGAGTGCTATGCAAGTATGAAAATTCGCAGGGATCGGAAGATCTCGCATATACAGTGCGATGAGCAGTGGAGTGCCCATTCTCGCTCGAAAGGCGCGTCCACGTAAGAAACGACAAGAGTATGTTGTAGAAAGCTAACGGAGTGCTAGTGGCGTAGTTTAAATAGAAGACCTTCGGGCCATACACGGTCAATGGCTTTTTAACGGCGAGAAAAACAACTCTAGTAAGTTTTATCAAGATGAAGTTCCGAGTTTCCACTTAAAAAGCGCAAAATTTGTTTTGTCTTCAAGTTAAAGGCGCTTCGTGTGTTAATGCAAATTTTTCCAGTGGACGTAATGGAAAAGCCCCTGTTTTTAACTTTTACAGACGTGGGGTGTGGTGTACCTTTCTTTGACTAACGAAATTTTTACAAGCGTAAGTTCAAGAAAGATTCCGAAATGTTTAAGGTTATTAAACAGAATATAACGGGTGTGCTAACTAAATAGCGACTATTTTTTTTAGTAATTTGGTCATTGTTTTAAACTCTCATTTAATATGTACAATATTAACGTGTAAGATCAAAAAACATTTAGTAACATGCCACGCCTTATTTTTTTTCTTTTTGAAAGTTACACTTAAACTTAATATAAAAATACCCACAACCAACGAAGCTATGACAAGTAACAAATAAACACAGTAGTTAACACTGCAGTTGCCAAAGAAGTGCTTCCTCTTTCGAGCGTTAAAATACGTCACTAACGACCAGTGCTCTCCAATATTATTTCTTTTAATAAGTTTTATTGTTTTTCCGGTACAAGAAATTGGCCGGTACAATAATTGATATCTTGTGTAAAAAAAAGTAGTAAGCAGTTAAAGCTTAAAGGAAGAGCTTCCTTAGCCGAGCCTGCAATGAAATCTCGAACTAGAGTGCTGTGGGCTTCCACATTAAAAGAAAAAAAATAATAAGGTATAGGTTTGGACTGAGTTATAAAAAACCTAAAGACTAGTCATCTTAGTTACTTACCAACGCTTACTTTAGTGCTGCTGTATAAATCTGGCAAAATAATTGCTATACCGAGGAGGGGAGATACAGAGAGAACTATACAGAGAGTGGAAAACGGAGTCATAAAGTTAAAGACCGACAAGAAAAATGTTTCCGAAAGCGACACCCGCTATAAGTATTTTTTTAATTTAAATAAAATCAAAAGGTAGCAAGTAAATTAAGGTAATCAATAATTAAAAAAACTGGAACAAGTATAAAAAGTATTTTAAAATAATATTATTTTCCGTGGAAATTTTTAAAAATTCTACACAATAACTTGTAGCAAAGACTTGGCCGTTAGGCTGAAAATATTGCCATTACTATATAATTCTCAGTAAGATAAATTACGAACGTTGAAGCAACTGGTCCGAAGCATAAAAGGAAATGGATTAACTTAACAAAGACTACGAATTAAAAGCCAAATACATATTAAAAAGTTATTTAAGGCTGGTATCCCGGAGCACCGGGGCCAAAATTAGAGTTTGGCACAAAAATGGGCTGCCCTTTTGTAAAGCATAATAACTCATAATGGGTAAAACCGTGTCCTCAAAGATGTGGAGTACCGAGAGGATGGGGCAGTCCGGAAGAGCCCTGCATCCCGGAGGCTTCCAAGTTCAAGCTAGAAGGTGGACGCACGCCCGGAGGCGGTGCCCGCGGTGGTCCCTGTCCAATTCTAAATTGATTTTGTTCCATACCAGGTGGGGCTTGAGACGCATCGGCCTGAGTGGGGCCTGCACAAGAAGGAAAAAGCAAACTAAACGAAGAAAAAGTCTTAATTAATAAATACCACCGGGGCCAATAAGCCCAGAAGGCGCTGAATACAAGTTGCCTTGCTGGTCAATAGGGTTATTGCCTGCGGGAGTGGAAGAGATCAACCCCCCCAAAGTACTTGCACTCACAGGAGGGAACGGGCTGCCCGGAGGACCATTTATAGGAGGTCGTCCCGGAGGCCCCATTGGATTAAAGGGAGGTGGAGGGCCTCCAGCAACTCCAGGGAATGGGCCAGACGGGAGCGGAAAACCGGGCGGTCCGAGGAAGGGAACGGGCATAGGACCGGGCAAGAGACCAGGAAGAGGGCCGGGCATCAAGCCTGGTATCGGAAGTCCAGGTAAACCCGGGAGAGGGGTGGGCATTATCCCAGGAAAAAGATGAGGCATAGCTCCGTACTCTAGTAGTCGAAAAGAATAAAACAGCACGAGGATATAAAAATAAAAATTAAGATACTCATAGCTTCCTCAGGATTCTCCATTACCCAGTTAGTGTACCACTGCCTTACATTTTCTTTGTGCTTTCTACCTTGATTATGGGTCCTTCTGCCAGACTCCGAATCATGCTGTAAAACTGCGTCGCAGTAATCACAATAGTACCTATTCCATTAAAACGATGAAATAAAATCACTGTTAACGCTCTTAAGATAAGTCTACAGCAAAATTAAACAAAAAAGTTTGGAAAACTAAAAAAAGCAACATTAATTCTTACTATTATTTAATTAGAAATTAACAAAGAAAAAGTTAGTAAAATAGAAACTTGGGCATTAATTAAGGCCAGTTGTTTTTTTTAAGCCAGAGATAGCCTTCAAACTGATGGGCAAAAATGATATGAAAAAGCCTATTTTTAAGGGAACACGTACTGCAGGGTTAGTAACAAAAAAAATTAGCTACACTGGGTGGCCCAGAGGTGGAGCGCTTTCTTTGTAAACCCACGATTTTACCTTCGAGGGGGGTGCGTCCATACTCAAGTGCGAATGAGGTTTCCCGGGGCTTATTAAATAATAATTTACCCTTAGACCTCGCGACTTGTGTTGTACGCCCGCAGTGGATGCGTGGACCAGAAAATTTATAAAATTAAGGAGAAACTGAAAGACTTGTTTTAAAAGAATAAGAGATTTATGTAACTATCTAATAGTATATAATTACATAGTATTTAAAGTAGATAATCTTCGGAAGATTTGTTTGATCGGAGGCCCTTAAATTCAGTTGTTTGAAAAGAATTAACGCTGAAGAGCGTATAATATCTTTACAAAAATTCTACTGAGCTATGAAAGAAAAAAGGACAAGTCAATTTTTGATGTTTTTAATTACAATTCTATTTATATATATCTTAAAATTGTTACATACTAAAGTAGAGTTAACCTTTTTAAAGCAATAAAATCGAAGTTAACATGACAAGGGGAGTGAGACGCCACAAGGTAGTCTAATGCAATTACCACTCGGCTGTTTTACACTGCACTTTTGTTGGTGGAAACAACCATTTCCTTTTTTTATAAGTTAAAAACGGTTGTCCTTGTTACCTTAAAATTGCAGTTATTATATAGTATATGTATTACAGATATTTAAAGCCAACTAAGCATCTTTTAAGGCAATAGCCTGTTTAAAATAACTTTTTATCTGGAAATTGTTTTTTTTAGCAAAAATATGGTTTTAGGGGCTGCGAAGGGGTTAAAGGCGTCCCTTAACGTGAATTTAATATAAATGAATATATTTCCAATATAGTACACGTTCCGTGTTTAATACAGTACTTTGCGTTAAACCCACTTCAATGTTAAATTCTAATAAAACTAGACGGACCCTTTCTTAGTACTAATAGCTCCCAATTACTGTATCTATCATCAAATATAATACTTACTTTTCGTGCAAGCTAAATAAAGAATAGTCCTAATAAGTAGAAAGTAATTTTGCTATCGTATTTTTTATTTTTTTTATATTACTAGCAGAGACAACCAAAATAAATTATAATAGGTAGTTAAGGTTAACGCATATATACCAACAGATTAAACAGGAAAAGCCTAACTTTCGCGTTGTATGAGCCTCCTAGTCTCAGTCTTTGCAACTTCATTCATATAATAACTACAACAACCAAGGAACTATAAGCGACTTAATTGCTTTTAAGAAAATTTATTACTATTGCAGAGTTACGATAAGTAAAGACCATGATAAGTTTCATTCTTGTCTACATACCCTGTGAGTGTTACAAAAACAAACGATATGCATATATGACTAATATAGCCGGCCGACTACTATAAAGCGAGTTACATCTGCCTTAAAAGTAAAAAATGAAAGGCAATATCTCATGCACGTTTAGGACTGGGGAATTCCAAAAAAAAAATATAAAAATAAGTTGTAAGTCACGAAAAAAAAAAGTCTCCAAAAAATACAACAAAAAGGGTGCAGCTATTTATTATATATTTGTCAAAGCACTTGTCATTGTCCTGAAAGGTAACATCAGCACATATCTACAATATACATAAGTTTAAAAACTTAAGCAAACTTGAAGGTATTAAAACTATATGTACAGCTCTTATATAACAAAAATAGATGAACCATCACTGTTATAACAGAGAAAGCCTTCAAGGACGTGTATCTCTAATGTATAAAGAAAAGAGCAAGAAATAAGGAAGTACAGTCAAAGGTGCTCTTCGATAACTTTTGATGAATCAATTCTTCAGTATGACGGACGAAAGCCTGGTACTGTTCCATAAGTAGTTCCTGAAGACGAAGCTCATATTCTTCTCTTAAGCTTTTTTCTTTCTCTTCTAGCGCTTTTGTTATAATACTCTTAACTTGGTCGAGGGTAAACAGAAGTTGTGGGTCGTCTTTAAGGCTTGCTCGGCGAATAAATGGCGCCGTTTTGAAGTTTGTGTTTAAAGAACTGCAAGGATGGACCTTGCCACTCTGGCTAAATAAGGAAGTTTCGTTCACTCGGGATTTGATACCACTTTTATTGTCTACAAGAGTGCCATTACAATTCGTAAAATTAGCTTCACTGCTATTTTCGCGACTAGTCAAATTCGATAACTGGTCGCTTTCTTCATTTTCCCTAATTTTTTCTTTATTGGGGGAAGCTTCATAATCGTCAAGACCTATTTAAAATTAACCTAATTAAGCCTTTAGCCTACGAATGAAAAAGATTTTTAAAACCTAACTCAAGAAACATAATATCACACAACACTTTTAAAATAAATAAATTAAAGATAATAATATTTAACCATACACATAAACACGAAAAAAAAAGTACTATATCGAGGAAAACGGCTAAAGGTGCGTGTTAGTTGCTGATCGTCAAGTGCACTTAAATGCCTTCTGGTGTCATTGCAGAGAATTTTTTGTGGGGAAACTGCAAGTCTGCATCTCTTTTGAATGCGACAACTACTTACAGTAGGAGAGCTAGATAAACCATCAAAAAAAGAGTCATAACTTCTTTTATGTGAGAGCGCTACCACAGACATCACGACTACAAAAAATTTATAAAGAGCAGTATCAAATGAATTTAGGTTGTGAATAAATAAAAATTGTAAAAAAAGCTAAAATAAAGAGCGGGTTACCTAAAAGTGTAGAAAGAACCTTACTAACTCAAGTTTAGTAAAGTTAGACAAACAGGTTCAAGCCCAGCACAGCTGCAAAGACAGGGGGTCTCGTCATATATACTGAGACAGTGTTTTAATGGACATGGAAGACCATCTGGCCCCTCAATTCAAAAAGATGATTCATTTTTTAAATGTCTGCATCCAAACTAGCTTTAAGGAACCAATGTTTTAGATGTCGAAAGTCCATAGGTCAACAGAAGCGAGAGCTTTTGGTGCCTCTACCAGCTAACTTTCGATGCCTGCGAAGTGTGCAGGTAACTTCTGCGCTTCTACTGCATTTTGGAATACTGTTATGACAGTCTGAGCACTTTCGTTTGGTTAATCAGTCGTTTAAAATACGTTAATTTTTAGCTTTGACGTACACTATTTCTTTTTAAAATAGTTATATAGTTATGACATCCCAACCTTTTTTAATAAATCACATTTATTTGTTTTTCAATCTTTTTTTTGGTAAAGCTCCTTTGCACTATCGTTGTTTTATTCTTCCTCTAATACTGACTCGTTATATTTATGCTAAACTCGCTATTTTTAAGCTTGGAAAATTTTGTTTTTTTTAGTACACTTATTTTTTATTAACACCTACTTATATTGGCAAACTTATTAAAGCGTATCCTTCGTTGCCCCAGTGCAAGTGTTTTTGTGGTTAAGGTTTCGGTAACATTTAATAAAATACTTAATTGTGGTATATTGTAATCTCACTACGTTTGCCCACGAGTGTGCATTACTTGTAACGTTCCACCAAAATATTAAAGTTTTAATACAAAGTTCTTACCTAACTTTAGAACTTTGAAGTTTTCTAAAGACTTCACATATAATACAAACTTTATTAGTAACTTTGCATTGTTTATAACCACGCAGTATAAAACAATTTAACTTAAGAACGTCTACTAAACTTAACCTTAACGAAACAACTAAATTAACTTTGCTCATGATAAGATCGTACTCGAGCAAAATTTTTTCCAAAGTAGGCGAGGAGACTGCCCCATTGCTATGTTACTAATAAGCAGCGACTGTATAAAAACAATAGGAAAAGTCTTTATTCTGTTTTAAATAGTGGTAGTAATCGCGGTTTTGAATCGAAATTCTCCAATTACTTGCCGGAACTAAGAAGTTTCCTGTCCCAAACCCTATTAAACTTTTAACTGCGCCGTAGTCAAACGCTAGAAATTGGATACGCTGCCTCACCTGGTAAAGAACATAACCGCTTGAGGATCCACCCTCAAACTCCCTTCCTACAAGTCTGGCGTAAATGATTTTTTCGGCGTCACGAGTCCACTTATCCAGCGCACTTCGGGGTACGTCCTTCTTACCAGAAAAGTCCTTTTGGCCTTTACTCGGCTTGGACAACACGCCCATCCTGCATCGCAGAATGAAAGTTCTGAAAGATAATTAACAAGCAAAGCGGTAGAGTATAACTGGGCGTCTACTGGCAACCGCCTTAAACGCTCAAGTTCGCCGAGGAGATACTGATCATCGATATATACTTTTTCTGCAGGAAGAGCTTGGGAAAAAAGTTGCTAAACAAAGAACTCCGGGTGAAAACCTTTTTGGTCGGCATGGGAAGCTTTAAAGCTGGTGAAAATGTTTTTATAGGTCAATTCGATCTGTGGAAAAGATATAAAAAGTAAACTTAAGATAAGCATCAGATATATAACGCCTGTTTAAGTAGCAAATTAAGAAATTAAGAAATTAAGAAAGTTAGAAAATTAACAGTAAACAGACAGCCATACCAGCTGATGTCCTCTACTTACTGAGCCAAACAGGTTACACAAGTCCCAAAGATCCTGCAAGAGTTCAGCATGCTTTGATGTTCGTAGGGATTCTGGAATTTCCGCCAACAGCTCCCAACGACTTTCTTCGCGTATTTCAAGCACGCTTAAAAAAATCTAAAAAGGCTGAATTCAAGTTGTTAAATATATTATAAATAATTAAGGGTGCCTGTATTGCAGTGTTGACGTTGGAGAGTGAAAGTTTTTTTTTTGACAAAATTTCCAAGAGAGGATTCTTGACATAAGAAGTGACTTTGGGCTAATAGTATTAAATAAGAAATTGTAATAATTAAAAGTGAATGTTTACCAAAGAAGGGTCGAATAGAGCGCGGGTCTTACTTTGTAGTGAATAAAAAAGTGTTTTTAAATAAAGACTTTCTCTTACAAATTGCAAATTAATTTCTCCTTTCCTAATTTGACAAATATATCAAAATGAGTATGAAAATAAGAGGCAAAGCCAAATCGCGCACCGGTCGCCGTCCAATTCCAAAATGCTTGTTAAGTCACAGCTTCTCATGATATCCAAAAAATCCTACTCACCAGAAAGTTTATCAACGCAAATAAGAAAGAGAGGGCGCTCGCCTCAATATAGTCAACAGATGGACAGCCCTCGAGCTCAGCGCCAAGTGCCAACCCGGGAAAAGCATGCAGAAATTCTGGGCTGTACAACTCGTGCAAGTAAAGCACACCTACCGGCAAAGTTGTATATATGGGTGTGTATATATAAGAAATAGCGACCCTCAGCTGCTTTGAAAACGAATGCGGGGATGCGATCTTCAGAGTGCAATACAACTAGTCTACCTGCGACAAAAATTAGAAAAAAAAACAAAGCGCAGTCTTTTCTAACCGAAAAATATGTGCTTGAGCATGCAAGAGGAGGGCCCCGATGTCACTTTAAGCGAAGTGGCCCGTCGCACTTGGCGCACGCACAGCGCGTCTAGCAGCCTGTAGGTGAACCAGCGCTCCACGTGGGAAAGAGGGAGTAAAGATCTACATACCTCCGTGAAGTTTGGACGAGCGTTTGTCCGGCCAAAAGACAGTCTTGTCCGTCATTAGACATTCCTCTTCGGACCAATGCACGAGTGGTTCTGCCAAACACGAAAAAATGAGCAAATAAAAATCAAATTCAGAGGGCCAATAGTCAATAGCCACCGCGAAAAAAGCAATCGAGAGCATCAGCTTGGAGCAAGATAACAACGTCGTACAACGAAACGCAATGCTCCAAAGAAGTACTCTGAATAAAATATTCTGTATTACTCAGGAACCTACCTTTAAAAAAAAATTAACCTTCATGGGAATCCCAGCGATTTTCAACCTTTTTAACGAGTAATGAAGCTGCACTAAACTAGGAAGAAAATAATTAGTACATTTCTTTTTTATTTGTGCACGCAAAGATGCAAGAAACCGAGTAACAGAGTGGAGCAACACGTGGCAGAAGAATGTATACGAACACGTCGAGAAGCATTCGGTTATCTTTTTGTATAGGATTACAAAAAAAATTAAAGTTCGTAAAGAACTTAACAAGAGACAAGTAATTCATAACACAAAAAGGGCGTGTATGAAAAAAGTAAAGAGGAGAATATATATAAACAAAACATCTTTAAAAGGAGCAGCCTCGTTGTACTTTTCGCTGGAAGGGAAAAGTCCTTTATCAGGCAAGACATTAACCACACAAAGTTCGAGATGGCGAAAATTATTAGCCCTGCTTTGATCAAGAAATTTAATAAAAATACATATATTAAATTAAATAATTTTGTGAATTTAATGGCTAAAATTTCTGAACGAGTTAGAGAGTTACAAAGATATAGTGATGATTTTGATTGTAAATTTATTAAAAATAATAAAATGGCGTCAAACATTTTATTAGAAGTGCGCAGTAACCGCTTGATAAAGGAAGATCGTAAATCCACGCTACCAACTCTGCAAATAGTTAGTTATTAAAATTTGTATATTTTAGTTTCAAAAGAGTCCGTATTTCCTTTAAAGCAAACTTATTAAGAAATACGTAATTTTTTTAAAAAAAATTAAAATTGAATAAAAGTTAAGTTAAGGTGCATAATTGGGTAACTGATAATGTTTTGAAGAGTTGAGGCTTTCCAAAAATGTAAGCGTCCGAGAAATAAAGTAAACAATTCTAATACGGAAGTCTGAATCCTTAATAAAGGGAAAAGTAGCTAATTTTTAAACTAAAAAAACGTTACAAATTTTAAAAAAAAGTATGCAAAATTAATAACATAAAAAGAAGATTATTGATACTATTATTATTCGTTCTTGTATGATTTAAACTAAAAACACGAGTCACAAGCATATTTAATATAAAATTAATAAAAAAATTTATGTATATGCTTTTTTATAATAAAAATATAGCTTTCAAAAATCCTTTTGTTATCCTTTTGTTGTTTAAAGTTTTGTTCAAATTCCGTTTTAAATAAATTGAAGGAGGCTTTTTTTTTAATAAGTAATATAATGTTTATTATATTTTTACTTTTTTTTTTGGTTTTTTTTTGCAAGTTAAGCCATTATTTCGAAGAAGACGAATTTTATAAAACAGTTAAGATTATATATATTACAAACTTTATTTTATTATAAGTATTTTTAGTACAAGTGCTACTGACATAAAAAAAAAGGTAAAAAAAAAGAATTTCTAATAGAATTAGAATTAGATATAAATTAAGTATAACCTCATTCCGAAGTTCGTCCAAATCATTTGAGATAAATTCACTGCTATCCCCAAATGCGATTAAGTCAGAATTCTGGTAGGTTTTTGGGGGGTTTAAGCACGAAAGTGTGTCTATAATCTTACGACAGTAACAATAATAATAAATAATTTATATTTAATATGGTAAATTTAAACAAAAAGTTAAATAAATTCAACACAAGTTTATTTTACTGGAAGGCATACTGGCTTAATATCCTGCTGTTCATCTTCCCAACCATTCAAATAACAATAACCAAATTCACCAACTGCCAGCACCCGAACCTGAAGTCCACAAATAAAAAAAAAAGACAAACACACAGCATTAAATAAAAACTTTAGTATCCTTAGTAGCAAAAAGATCAAGAACTATCCTTGCATATTCTATAACTGCTTCTATAATAAAGGTAGAAAGGCTTTTCTGAAATGAAAAACTGGGGCCGAGAAATTTATTGTGGGCCAATACTGGTTTATTTATTTTTTTAGTAGAGTTCAAACCACTGAAAAGATATTAAAATCTTGAAATCGAAGTATTTAGTAGGTAGGTTAACTGGCCAACACTAAGTAAAAATAAAATTTAAAAATTATATAGAGAGGGTAGATAATATTTATTGATTATTGCACCCTACTAGAATCAACTTAAAACTTAAATTTTATAACTAAGTGGGTATATTATTAAAATTAAACATTTTCTAGGACTGTTACGAACATATTAAAGTACCCGGTGTAACTTCCGAGCTCAAATTTGCTGCAGTTGGTGTCAAATCTATAACAAGAATAGTTCTATCAACAGGACATTTCATCGTATACCCGAGGTGAGTCAGTTTTAACTACGCTTAATAGCAAAATATATTTAAAGATAAAGATCCCCTACGAGGAAGTTTACTAGGGAAACTCTAACGCATGATATCCCTGTTTAGTTTTCCACCAACCACTTGACTGTCTTGAAAGGCTTTTTGCCTTTCCTCGGCAGTTTCTCTTTGAAGTAAACTTAGCTAAATAACTTTGTAGTTGTGGGCATAATATAAAGAATATCTTATTTTGTAAATAATTACCTTTTTGCAAGGTGACAATAAATTTTGTTTGTTTAAAAGATTAATAACCTTTTAACGTTCCAATTAAATGATTGTCGAAGATACAGTTTTTTACTGATAATGACACTCGAAATAACTAACAAGGTGAATTATTATAAATTTTTTTAAACTTAGTTTTTTATATTAGCCCTTATTTAGCAAACTTGTGCTTCTTTCTTCCCACCTAACATAAAAGTTCCTCCGGAAGGTTACTAGTAGACCTTAAATTATTTGTTATGCTTTTATTTTAATATGGAACCTTTTAAGAAACGGAGAAAGTGATTTCAGGGCTTGCTAAGTTTGTCGCTAAGAACGGTTATAGCTTTGAAAACCTCACGCGTGAAAAACAGAAAAATAATCCCAAATTTTCTTTTTTATTTACGGGCGAAGTAATTACTTATTTACCTCGAAACCTTTTAAACAGTTATTGAGTTTTAAGAAGTTTTCCTGCCTCACTGTAGCGTATTAAACCTTACATTTAGCTTTTATTTATACTAAGTTATTGTATTTTAATAATTTTTTCACCTTTATTGCGGTAATCTGTCGCCTATATTTAACTTATACAACTATTTGAGTATAAAGATTACTACTACCACTGCATTGGGATAGAAGCAGCCAATCTGGGTATATTGGCTTTAATTATTTTATTAATTTTTAAGTTATTTTTAAAGGTATGAATGCGGCACCGGAGTTCCGCCAGCAGTACCCGGTAGCTTCCCAGCCGTGGGCTCCGCCGTGGGTCTTTCCAGCTCAGCAACCGCTCTGTATCTCGGGGCCTCGCTTTCCCTACCAGCCCTCTGGCCCACTAAGCAGTTCTCCACAACCTTGGCCCTCTCAGTCTTTGAACGCGCCGTCCATGCCGCTTGAGCGAGCCGCTCCAGATTCTTTTCATCCACCGCCTTGGGAGTCGGCTGAAAAAGAAAAGTGTAGGGAGGGGGACTCGCCTCCGCCTCCTCCGCCTCCCCCTGACAACGGTCAACCTTGGGAATCGCTTCAGTATCCCCCGCAGCAACAAGTCCCGTGGGATCGGCCGCCTCCTCAGTGGGAGCAGCCGTTGCCCTTACATAATAGTATATATACCTCTGACTTATCGTGTTCAGCCTTCATGATTTAACCTTTTCTCAGGACCAGCGTGGCAACCACCTGCCATTCCGCCGTGGAACCCCCAACCTCCTCCCTGGCAGCCTCAGAATCAACCAGCTAATCCTTGGCCAGGTTTTGAAGCCGGCATGACCTGATAAAGCGTAACGCTTAAAAATAACTCTTATTTGAATCTGCAGGCCCCCTCCCCCCGTGGCAGCGCCCACCGCAAGAGCAACATCCCCCGCCAATGGACTTCCATCTCCTCGACCTCGTCTTGGAGACGATGGTCGATAACGTGTCTTTTGAAGAGAACAAACATAAAATCGAGCAGTGCACCGATTGGGCCCTTGAAAATTGCGGAGATAACTACTTAAGAGTTTGTAGTTTGCTTATCATCATTTCTTGATCAGAGATACTCTTCATACCAACTCGTAGACAGTGGAACTTGGCAACCATTTTTGCCACCTTGTTGCAAAGTGTTGTGCGAATAATGAAAGTTTCACCAAAGTTATAAGCTTTACTTTTGTTATAGAAGCCATTTTGAGGGCAGGGTTGATTTCATAATCCGATAATGCTCTCATTTATTGACTTCTGTTTTTTTAGCGTTGAAAACCACAGAACAAATTTAATCAATTCTCTTTTAGACTCTTTAGCCTCTATATTCGTCTCCGTTCGAGAGTCTTATCCGCTTCCCCTTTTTCAGTGTCTGATGCAGGTGTGCAACTGTTATTATAATCTTTAGCTGGAAAGCGTAGCATGAATAGACCAGAATGTTTATCTGCTCTCCTTTATAATAATATGTGCTTTCCGATTGTCAAGCTAATAGAAAGTTGGGGAAAAGAAAATCTATTTAACAGTGAAACGTTGAGCAATTTAAAAAAACTTATTGAAAAGGAACCCAATGAAAGTACGATGGTTTGTGATTGCATACGGCCCTTTTACTAAATTCGAACTTATTGCAGACCAGTTCATTGCCGCCTTACCGGAGAGCGTTGTGCGTTCCGTTTTTTAACCTCGTTTTGCTCTATTGACTTTCCATTGATATATTACGAAGATGACAAGAAGTAGAATTCCATATTACGAGTTGTCTGCGGCGTCGATGTTTGACTGCCTCCTGACGGTAAAAGTTCATTGCCACCCCTCGTTGTTTGTCGTTACTGAGCACAGCGGCGGTTGCATTAATAGTTGAGGGCCGACAAGTACGCCCCAATTCTCCCCAGCTACTTGAGCGGCGACTTTGCAGATCTCTACCGGATTCCTCAGCGTTTGTACGACACGGTGAGCCGTTTTCTGGAGTCGCTGGACCAGATGGAAGGTTGCCACCTTGGGCTCGTCTAGGCACTAAAGTCGTAAGCTCCGAGTGCTTCCTTGTAGGGAGAAACCACGAGGGCTGGGTGCCCCACACTCTAGAGAAGCACAACGCTTCATTGGATACCACCGCCTGGCTAAGGTGCTTCCGAGTTTTTATATTCTGAGCCGTAAAATAGTATATCAGCCAGCCAAATCACTAGACCGCGCGCCCGCCAGAGTAGACGCTCCCGCTCCCGCTCCCGCTCTTACTCGAGGTATACCGGCTATTACTATATACTTGGCAGTTGACCTACTTTATTGCACCGAGCTCGCGATCCCGCTCCCGGTCGTCCTCTCGTACCTATTCACAGTCGCCCTCCCGAAGTTACTCCCGCTCTCATTCGCGTTCGCGATCTCGTTCCGCTTCATATTCGGTGAGTTCCTTTTTTATTTATATTTTCAGGCTAGTAAGTTTTCTTTTTGCATCCTATAAATCTCCTTTATCTTAACTCTTCAGAGTTCTCGTTCTCGATCTCAGTCGCTCTCTTCCAGGTAGCCTTTTTCATTTCCCTTCTTCCGCGCAACGATTATCGAAAGATTCGCTTAGATCGAGATCGAGATCTTATTCGCGCTCTCCGAGGCGCAGGCGTAGCCTTTCTAGGGAAGGTTCTCTAGACCCAGAATTTCCGGGGTTGAGTCACCCCGATATTGAGAGGTTTTTTTTTGACGGTTTTTTTATTTTATGTAAGTATAATCATGCGTCAAAAGATGCCCCGAGAAGCCGTTGGATGGTAGCAATGTTGGATTCCAGATGCTGCAGAAGATGGGGTGGTCGGGCGTAGGCAAAGGCATCGGCGCTAAAGGCACTGGCAGGGCGGAGCCTGTTCCCTCGGCGGAAGTGAGAAACAAAGCAAACAAGTTTTCTGGTTCAATACACTTTCTTTACTCTAGTAGCCACTGCACAGCAGAGCCGCTTTGTGTTTTTATTTTTAGGGATCGGCGTTGTTAAGGCGAAAGAGCCTGACGACGACTTGTTCGAGCAGTTTAGAAAGTCGAAGAGTTACACACATAGAAGAGACGTTAGATTTTATTATTCAATAAGAATAGCAGTAGACTAATATTGTTTTATAGATGGATAAACGCAAACAGGAGGTTCCTGTGTGCTACAATTGCGGTTCAGAGAAACACTTTGCTAAGAACTGTCCTGGCATTGCCCGAAGTTATAAATGAAAAACTTAGATTACGATAGATAACATAAGCGTAGCTTTACTGGCTATGAATTTCGTTTAACATTAAAGTAAAAGATATAGAGCACCGGAAAACTCTACACCTCTATTAAATATAACTTCTTACTTACTCAGCAATTTTTTATTTTATTTACTTTCTTCAAACAGCGTTCTTATAAATTCCCACTCGGCAGGAGCAACGGGTTGAACAGAAAGCCTAGCACTTTATACAGTTTTATATAAAAAATCTAATGGTTAATAGGTAATCAATATGGTGTGCCTTTTAAAAAGAGCCATATTTTTTAGTTCAGCGTTAGAATAACTTTTCAAAGTTGCTAGTGGAATTGCTTTATTTAGCTTTTTTAAAAGTTTGATTTTTATGGAGAACCAACGAGGATTTGCTCGATTGCCTAAAACAGTTTTTATTAACTACTTAACTAGCTTAAACAAATAACTTGCTAAACTTTTTGGATCATAATAACGGCTATCAGGTTTAAACTGTGAATGATCGGGATAGGCTGCTGCAACAACTTCAACGATACCAACAATAGCAGGCATTCTACAGTTACTATGATAAAAAAAGCCAAGGTCGCCTAAAAAATAGTTTAATTTTTAATATTTTTAGAACAAAAGAATTTAAAAAATACTGTTAACATTAACAGCAATAATTTTATAAATACATAAAGTTGAAATAAAAATTGTGATATAGGTTATATATGTTATATAAAAGCTGTTAACTTATAACCTTTCCTCACATCCTTTTTTAAGTAATTTCTCGCTTGGTAATTTCTAATTCCGTCCCATTCTGTAGTTAAGTCAGGCTCTTTGAAGAAATCCTCGACACTGAACTCTTTCTCTTCAGATTTAAACAGCCAATACATTACCACTAAAGTTTAACTTTACAAATTTTGTTCACAACAATTTAAAAGCTCTACTTTACTAAAAAATAATAAGTGTATTTAGACGGGTAAATGCGTTCTATTGTAAGCAATATCTCTTTAGTAAATTTTTTTTTTCATTTAACCTGAATGGTAGTTATGGTTAAGTTAATCAACGACTATTAACTTTAATTAGTGTAAATTACTGTAACCTCGGCCAAACAGACTCAGCTGGTTACCTTTAAACAAAAATTAAACTGAAATCATAATATAACAGGTCTTTTTAATAAATTTAAGCTACCATTAAGTAAATTAGAAGGTCGACTACTAGAAGTCACTCGTATTTTTCTTTTTCTTTATCACTGGCGTACTACAATCGGCCTTCTTCAGACCTCAAGTCGCTTAAATCTGAATCCCCCTTTTTGCAGGGGTTAGGGCACGAGGGCCCACCAGGCCTAATGCGGTGGAAAACTGCACCACCGGGAGAGGCGGCCTTAGGCCCAAAACCGAGGCCTCCGGGGGGCACCGGCCAGTGTTGCTGCCAGCCAGGCATCCCCGACTGTGAGCTCCCCCCACCCAGAAAGGGGGCCCTTCGGAGTTACTCATATCATAAAATCTGCTACACAACTTGTTACCCCTTTACACAATTTTAACTATAACACAAGCAAGTGACAGTCTTGTGCGATGCCCGTAAATTGCTCTTTAATTCGTGGTGTTGTTATGCTCCATCCTTTACTTAAAAAAAAATTGTAAAAGCAGTATCATTTTTTAACTACTAATTTTAGCAAAAATAAAAAAGAAAATTCTAGGTCACGAAAAGTTTCTGTTCATAAAGTTCTTTCAATAAAAAAAGACAAAAAGAAATTTAGATATCGAAGAAAACGATATACAAGGTAATGGTGTAAGAAATAAAACTTCATTGGAAAATAAAAGTCAAATTAATTTACTTTATAATGGATCCGCTTTAATGATTGAGCAAACTAACTAAAGATTACTACACCTAGATCTGACTACGCTGATAAAAGGTTAAGACTTGAAGAGTTGGAGCATACCCTTATAGCATGTTTACCATCTTGTCAAGAATACGCAAAGGACGACTACGAGATATTTAATAAGTTAGAAACTAACTTTGTCGTCAAATATAGAACTAATAGCAACTAATCTAATAACAGCGGTAAAAATAATAATAATAGCAGTGATAGGGTTAGTTAATTACTAGTAACAATAATATTAATAGTGATTAAAGAAGTACTGGTATTAGGAATAGCAATAATAATAGCACACACTTTTTTGGTAGTAATAACCCTAAAAATCTGGTTAAACGCATCAGAAAAGTTAATAGGAAACCAAATTAAAAGTTTGACGGCAGTATTATGGGAGAATTAAGTACAAAAAATTATAAAAATCCTTGTAGACTGGGGAGTGAATACTTAAGAAATTACTCTTAAAGCTAAATCAGAATACCGAAAACTGATTATTCAATAAAAATTAGAAAACCAAACCTATCAAAATCCCAAGTTATGGTTGATCTAGATAGAAAACGGAGAGACGCCTAAAATAAACAGTTTAAGTGTAATAAAATTTCTTGGCAATCTTTACAAACCAAGTGTAGTAAAGCAACTTTTTATGCCCAAATGCTCAGCGATATCTAATAAAACAATAGTGCAATCTAATAAACCCAGTGTATACACAAAAAACTCTGAGCTAAAAAATTCTAAGAATTATTCCTTTAATGTAAAAGAAAGCGTACATCTTTCTAGCCCAGCATATCATTATGAGCGGTTTGTTGCTATGTTTGGGTGGTTAGATACCTGTAACCGCAAGGGCTTATAAAAAAATTGAGGTTATATGAATAACTCTACAAAGTCGGCGGATTGCGCCCTCACTCGAAAGAGTAGGTTTGTGATACTCGACTTTAATTTCATTGCTAATAGTCAACTTAAATGCTACTTATTTAGGATCCCTTTTCCAACACAAACCTACTGAACTTTTAAATATAACAACGCGCCCGGCTGAAAAAATTTATAAAGCTCTACCTAAAAAGGGACTGAGTGACCTTAAAATTATTTAATAATAAAAAAATTTAAAATATGAACTTTTTGAAACTTTGGCGGTAATACGTAATTTCTTTTAATTTATATAACATAACCCGCTTGACTCCAAAAGACCTCCTAAAAAGTGAACTTTACTGAACGTAAATTCGTTGATTGCGCAGACTCCGTATCTCATAGTAATTATAAGGAAGTTCTACTCCTCCTGCCTACAATAAAAGTGGTAACAAATAGTAAAAAGATCTTCTAAACGGCATATTAAGTCGACTTTGCGACTTCTAGGTATTAGTTGTACTAAACTGCTGCGCTTCTTTCTTGTTCCTTTGTGCAAATGTATCAAAATAAGAATAAATTAAGTATAACAACACAAGTAGTTGTGTAGCTGGCAAAAAAGCGATCCCGAAAAAATCAAAATGGACTCAGGACTATTGTAAAAGTAAAAAATGTAAAAAAAATAACGTATCCAGCAGCTAATAATATCATTAATACGCTACTAAAGCCACAGCAACTTTATAATCCAAAGAGAGAAAACAAAAATATAAAAAAATTTAATAGATAATTATTTTAACAGCGTAACGAAGCAGAAAAAGAATTAATACATAAAACAACTCTTCAATAATTTTATTATTTACAAAAGTTATAAAACATAATAAAGAATTATTTCATCGGAATAAAACGAGCCTTGGTTGAACCTAAACCTTTCTTTTGATGGTTAACGGGCTTATAAGTAATAGAAAACTCACCCAAGTACATTCCCACCATTTCAGGCTGCAAAAAAGAAATTCAAAAAAATAGATCTTTCCAATAGACAACAAATTAAAGTAATAATAAGTATATTTAACTTACTTTAATTTCTACTTGATTAAAGGTCTTTCCATTATAAACACCACAGATGGATCCAATCATTTCAGGAATAATAACCATGTTGCGTAAGTGCGTTTTCACAATCGGAGGTTTCGGATCCGCTTCGGTAACCAGCTTCTTTGCTTTTCTAAGGCGTTCAAGTAAGCGAGCTTGACGGCGTTTTCTTAGGCCTCCTCGTTTAATGCGACGTCGAATGCGAGCCGTGGCAAGACGAGAAAATTCTTTCATGTTCATATCCAGTAATTTTTCTATCTCAACGCCACGATAAGTAAAGCGTTTTAAAGTTTTCTTCTTAGGCTTTAAAAGGTCCGCCTAGACATTAAAGTAATTCATAAGTAAAACAAACACCACAAATAAGCAACAAAATATAGAGAAATCTGAACCATCTCGCCCGTTACCACCAAAAAGATAGAGAGGAGCAATTTCAAAAATTTAATCCTAATGTCACGTGAGCTAATATATTACGTGTTCTTGTGGGAAGTCGAGGTTTTTAATAGGCCCTCCACTTATTTGCATGCTAAAAATCTATGCCTTTTTCGGGTACTTCTACTTTTAAACAAATTAAACGAGCTAAGTTATGCATACACACCTTAAAACAAAGTTAAGCAGATCTCAATAGACGAGAGCAAACACAATCTCTTGTGTCTTTCACATAATGAAATCATGGAATGTGTTAACAATCCGAATACGCAATCAAACCAGAATGTTAGAATTTCCATCAAGCCAAAATATGATTGTTGCTCTTGAGAAGAGAGGAAACCATCTTTAGACTATAAAGGTCACAAACTCTTCTACTTTTCACATGAAATCATTAAGTTCATTCATTTTTATTCATTATTACCAATTACGCTTAAATTTAATAAAAAAATCTTATTTCTTTTTTGCTGGGTGTTGGAGACTCCAGCAGGAGTACATCTTAAACTGTACCAGATGTATGCCATGTGAGGGTTACTCGACCGAGGGTTTTGCAAATTGGAAGCGAGCTAACACACGTTGGTCGGTTTTTTTTTAATACTATATTTACCCGCTCTAAATTTGAAGTGGCAAGGCTCTCGGGGAGTTAAAATTTGTTAAACAAATTGCCAGTCTTCTTTTGGTCCTTTGACTCCCCTTTTATATATATCTATTTATAGTTCTCGAAACTCCATGCCTGTGAAATAAATACAAGCCAAAAATAAACATCTATTTAAAAGGTACGAAATTATTTAATAATATTTTAAGTCATGACACGAAAATAAGAAGGGGGGTTGTGTAAATATATACATATATTTAAAAGACTGGTATTTCTGGCGCTCGGTCGAGTTAGAAAACACCGAATTTACTATAAACAAGGTTTAAGCTTGACATCTCCATAACTGTGTGAATTTTGCCGTCAAAGTCATTTCGGCAAGAAACATTGCTGGTAGGCCATACTTTTCAAATGGCATAAATAAATAATATCTATTGAACATTTTAGCAGAATCTTTTAATATGTACATGGCAACATCCAGTGCTATATTATGAGTAAAAGCTGTTGCAGCTTCTGTAATTGGTGTTTAAATATATGGGTTTTTTTATTTTTTGTTTAAAAAGCATTTTAACAACTATGTGATAACAAAACAGAAGCATAAACACTCCCTCCTGTATATTAACAAAAAAAGGAAACACAGATTACTAAATTTTGTTAAACTTCGCACAATTCCGTTGGCTGAAAAATTCAAAATGATTGACTTAGTTCTTGAAAATAGTTGAAGAAAGACTATACATAGAGCACGGGGCATATTGTTTTTAGTTTGCATCTATTTATTTAAGTTTAACTCGTTTTTCGGTTTAGATTTTGTTAGTGTGCAAAAGTGAGGTTGTAACGCTCAATTTTATCGGCTAATTATTTATGTTATTAAGGATGGGTAAAACTAACTTTAAATGACTTTTTTAGTAAACCTGGCAATTTGAAGCTTGTTTTCGTACTTTCCAGTGGCCTTCATACGCGTTTTCCCGGTCACAGATTTGATTTTATCATAGACGAGACTTCTTTTAGAATGACCTTTAAACATTATAATGATTATAATAAGGTATTAAGTACTCTCTAGTAGCTCTCATTTCTTGCTATTTATCGGAAATACTTTAGTTTTATTGTATGTAAGAACCGAGGTAATTTCTAAGAGTGTTTTCGTCCTCAGTGGATTTAATGACTAGACTTTAAGAAAGTGGCATTATTATCAGAGCGCGGACGTTCCATTCATTTGAAGATAATTAATTTGGTAGCTCAGGGGAAGCCAGATTTCACATATAGTTAAAGATTAATTTTCTACTTGTATTACCTTCTTTACTTTTGAAATTCAATTTTAATGTCCAACTTTTTACTTCATTGTTAAAACCAAGCCTCTTTTGCAATTCTCATGTGTTTTTTTTATTGTTTTAACTTCTCTATAACTGTATGGCGCCCATTTTCTACTTCCCGTTTTAAATTTATGATTTTTCTTCACCATTATATGCGTGAAATTTAACCTTGCTTATTTTATGGCAAATCTTTGTTGGTTTATAATTTTCCCCAAAGACTGGCAAACCATTGCTGCCCTTTCTAGGTTAGATCGGCATATTTTATTACTTTACCCTTCAGAATCTAACTTGTTCTTATTTACTGACCAACTTAATGGTAGTATAAACTACCTCGTTTTTTTTTTCCCTTTATCTGCATTAGCACTCTGTATTTTTATGAATAATTTCGTATGTTTTTTTTTTCAGTTTTTATGTATGTTACCTCAAAGTTTAACGAATGATGAACTGTAAGCAGTAGCACAGGAACCTACAATCTACGTCTTATTAAATAAGTGAGATATTTCCATTTGTGGGTAAAAAAAAGTTTCTCGTTAAATATTGTATTTCTAAATCTATTACTTTGTTAGCTAGGAAGTATTGCGTTCACCACTCATCGAGTTCTCTGATTTGACGATTGGCACATTCTCTCAAGCTCTGTTCTAAAATTTTAATTTACATGTATAATTTTAATAAACAACTTTGCAACTCAGAGGCTTGCAATTAAATATTCGAGTAGCTAATCCATCAATCTTATTTGAAGTCGTTTGGTTATTGGCCTTCAAAGGTGAAAGCCCCATCTTTTATAGATTCATTTCATTAGCTATAGGGTAGACCAAACTGCATAAAAACAGCTGGCCATTATTTACTAAATATAACAAGCATCTTCTACTGGAAAATTGAATTGCGTTATTGGGAAATTGTGGTGAAAGGTGTTTTTTATTGCTGAATGTCTCCCATTAGAACTGAAAAGTATTAACCCATAGGAGGTTGTCCAAACATAGTTTGGACACACTTTGCTAATTTTTTGTTTCTTCATTATGAAGTTGGTTCCTATACCCTAAGAAGATAGCTTTAATGGATTTATACTAAGAATAATGTATTTAAGGCCTATATAACTGTTCCCTTGTTTGTAACGTTCCCGTGGAATTACAAATTCGCGTCTTATTGTACGGATGTAAGTGTCATAGATACTCCTGTCTGAGAAAAAGCTGCATTGTAAATTTTATATTACAAGTATTTACTGGCATTTCTTTACTTTTTTTCTTAATAGCAAGACTTTTCCATATATAATACTCTGGCATGCCCACTTTGGTTACGTTTTTTTAACAGTTTATTAAACCAAGAGTTACAAATAGCGTTTCCATAAACTAATTAAATATAAACCATTTATTCAGATGATGTTAACAGTATTTATCTTAGTGTTTGTGTTTTCTATTCATTACAAAAGTTTTGTTCTTAATGAAGTGTGAGTATTTTTAAAAAGTTGTAATAATATTAAATCTGTCCCTTATTGTAAAATGTTAAGTTACAGTATGATCTATATTCTTATGAATATGGAAAAACTGCTGGTACTAAAAGTTTATAGTTGAATTTTTGTGTATAATTCGTAGTAATGGTTCCTCTAAATACTAGAAATTAATTTTTTTAAAAGGGTGAGTTAAAATAAAAGTTTATTCACTTTAAATATTTTAGACTTACTTGAAATTAAAGGCTGGAAATTCCTAGTGTAATATTGTTCAATGCACGTCCGCTTTTAACAAACTCGTTGGTGCAGGGCCAGTTATTTCTTTTAAGTGAGAAAAAGGATGTTCATCGCAAGTTGTAATTGGACTTTTTTTCCCACTAAATAGGCCTATATGTTACTAAGTTCCTGTATTAATTATTTTTTCAAGTATATACTTAACTTTGCTAAGAATATATATTAAAGGTTTTCAACTGCCTAAGGGAAAGTTTCAAGGCTTATAATATAATATTTTTAAAATCAGTCTATAACATAAGACAATGCTTTAGTAAAATGGACAATAGATATAATGTACTGTATTAAAAAAAAATAGTCAAAAAAATAAAGCCTAAAATTAAAAAAATGTTAATGTAAAAATTCAAGTAATAATTATATTTATACTTAAGAACAGAAAAGCTAGAGCCTGGTACTAATATCTTGAAAGAGCTACTAAAAGAAAGCAAAATTAAGAGTTGTAGTCATTGACTGTTTTATTTTATGAAATGACACGTCACAGTGGAGACCAAAGGAATCTAAGTCTGTAACACAACACCTAAGACATAATAATCACAAGATACAAAAGCAAAAAATATGATAAACACAAAACACAAATGGACAAAGATAAACATAGATTACAAAAACATACTTTATAACACATTAAGTATAAAGTACACAACCATAAAATACAAAAGTACAAATACAACAAACAAATCACAGAAAACAAAGCAAAAACACAAACACTAACCCTCAATTTTTTCACAGGAAAAATTATCCGTGATTAATCCAATCAGAAACCTGAGGAACAACTAATAAAAACAGAAGAAAGAGATAATTAAAAACAAAAATTTAATTTGACCTACCTTATCAATAGGATACAAAATAAACAACGTAAAATCTAATCTGGTTCAATTAAATTTACTTTACATATTTGGATGCACATTTCGACCTTTTGTAAAGGCATAAATACAGACAGAAACTTATTAATTAATTAATCCTTGCTTTAATATACTTTTTTTATAAACATTCATACAAATTTTGATGGACTGCTTATTCATATCCCACCCGCAAGTGGTTGGGTTACTAGTCCACATAATTGTGTTGAGGAAAAGATCCCAGTCCATGTTTTAACGAAAATTACCATTTTTAGGCATTTTTATGATTGCTATTGAATATTTCATTGCTTAGTTGTTAGTATATAATGAAGGTTTACAAAAAAAAATGGGCAGCCGTGTTAATTTATTTTGTGCCTTTTTTGTTATAGTCTAATCTGTACATTTCTCTCTCTCTCTCTCTCTCTATATATATATATACACTTGTTTACAATAAATTTTTAAAGGGTTTAAAGGTTTAGATACCGGTCAGTAAAGGTTTAAAAACCCTAACA